TAATTAATTGCGTTCAGAGCCTACTTTAACTGTTAAGATCCTAAAAAATAGAACTGTACCTAGTTAGCTAGCTAAGCAATATCATAATACCTGTTTGAAAAAAAAATCTTAACTAAGTATACGGTTGACGCGGTGGCTGCCGTGCAACGTGTCGCTAGTTCGATTCCCGCAGGTAACAACTATGTGATCCAAACATTCTTGTTTCGAGTTTTTACGAGATGTGACAGGAGAAAATCCTACTGTTTAAAAAAGTGTGATAGGTAGGTACTTAAGACAATAAAAACCAAAAATCTAAGACAGCTTAGAACAAAAGCAAGAAGTAGGTATCTACCTTACAAATAAATAAAAGATTATCCAATTAAAACAATGTAAAAAGTAACGGGCAGGCCATTTAGGCAATCGTTTAGTTTTTGTATAGATCTAGAAATGTAAGGTGTTATATCAGACTAGAGATAAAACTAAGCTGTCGACGCCGATAATACGAAACGTTCCCAATCCCAATTTATGCACTTTTGTGGAGCCATAGCGAAAGCGAAAAAGGGATAAAAGACAACTGAATTAAAAAAAAAACCAAACTAATATTATAAATACGAAAGTAAGTAACTCTGTCTGTCTGTCTGTCTTTTCTTCACGCCTAAACTACTGAACCGATTTCTGTGAAATTTGGTACAAACATAGTTTGGAACTCGAGAAAGGACTAAGATAGATTTTATACCAAAAATCCGTAGGAAATCACAATCCCATGCGGGCAAAAGCTAGTAAATAATAATACTAGGTGAATGTTTACACGACGTGAGTCCCATCACACTCTTATTGTAATTAAAGGTAGGCACACACAAGGTAAGGGAGCACATAATTGCACTTTTTCTTAGTTATATTACTTAAGTAGGTAATACTGACTGCAAGCTACGTGCAGCTACATAATTATGTAAATACTCAATACTTTGTTTAACCGCTGTGTAAGGCTTAGGTTCCAATTTACGGTAGTATCACCTTACAAATTTCACTTGCAATTAATCCTTGAACGACATCTAGAAATATCATTGTTGTTTGTGTAAGTTGGTGCCTAGTTGCAGAATATTTTAAGGTCTATGGGGCATGGTCGTGTCACTAAGGTAGGTACTACCAACCTAGATAATTGTCCTTAAAAAAATATATATTATGGCCGATTGCAGATTTTAAACATCTCCCCAATACTTATTCTGAGAAAAATCGCTCTACTTTAACACGCAAGCGTTTTAAAATCGCTGTTCTCTTGGCCTTTGCATCTGAAACCAGTGCTATAACCAAAAAAAGAATAAAATGGCGCCAGCGACATTTTGTGCACCGCTCGGTAACAAGTCGACGACAGGCACTTTGTTAATCTGCAATCTAGATAATATTTTCAGATCAGAATTGTATTATTTTTGTACAATAGGTACTATTGTTGTTGATCGGCCTTTCTAGTGAGCGGCGCATAAACTGCTCCATTGCTTTTGTTCATACTAGCTATAAAAGCATTATAACATGTTTAGTAAGTTTTTTAAGGACTACTCGTATGTGTTGACAGCTTAGCCAGACTATTCTTAGCCTTTTTTGAGAGGGCAAAATCATCAAATAGCTTCTCTGACCCAAAGTGAGGGAAGAGGAAGACCAAATTCCTTCCCCTTTCCCCTATCAATTCCCAAACCTTAAATATCCGAAAGCTTAAAGTATTCCTAAAAGGCCGGCAACACCATCGTATCTTTTTGGTGTTGCGGATGTCCATGGGTGGCGCTGTTTGCTTACCATCAGGTAATCCGTCTGCTTTTTTGCCGACCCATACCTACCATAAAAAAGACTTACTGTCATAAACGACCCCGTTACTTTTCCTGCGCCAAGCGGAGGCCGTGGTGCCTTATTGCGGTTGCCCCGCAACCCTGGCTGATCATCGGCAATTTTGAGTCCCATCTATTTAGTGGACTATTGCTGTGGTCTATTGGCTCTTTGAAGCGCACGCCGAACGCTACTCGCCATGCACTCGAGACTGCATCACTGGAGCACTCGCTGTGGCCATTGGGGGAAGCCCAGTCATAAATAAATTGTAATAAAAAAAATATTATTGGTACAAACTATTATTTATTTAAGAAAAACACAAAATTGTCGTCCATAGCGACACATAGTTTTAGTATAACAAAAAAATACATAAAAATTATATTTTACACTGAATAATTAAATTGTACATTTGTGTATCGGACAAACCAGGAGGGAAAAATCCACTTACTACGTAGTTTGTATTCAATACTTCATAAAAAATTACAAATTTTGTAGCAAATTTAATTTAATACCTATGGACCTTATCTGATCAAGACACTATCGTTAAACGACCAATCATGCAACCATGATGTTTGCAGACCTACACCAGAACAACATTTCAAGTGTGGAAGAGACATATATCGGCACGAATGGATCAGCTTGACCGTAGTAATACCACGACCGCACAGATAGCAGCGTGAAACAAAGCTTGCATTGTTTGCTTGCAATTTTCCCACATCCCCAGTCCTCAAAAGACAAGCAAGCACTAGAACTCCTCGATGTTGCGATTGATAGACACTCGCGGATCCGATGACTGACTAAGTGACCTCTTTGCTCGTTAGCCGCCCTATCCCCAGCGTTGACTTGGTCGCCGGTATTTTGACATCAGGTACCATCCCCATACTTAGTATTTATTGGTTAACTTGAAGCCTTGTGTCCTAACGAAATAAGGTTCTAATTCCCCTAACTACATTTGTAGACACCATATAGGTGACAATCATTCACAGATTTACAGACAAAACAATACACACGTAACATTTGATAGCCAATGTAGATCTGGTAATTCACAAATTAGTTTTAAAAAAGAGCAACAAAAAGCTACTTAGATTTTAGAATAACTAAAAAAATACATCTTTTTTTATTAACCTATCTACTTGGATATATTAAAGAGGCTATTAGAGAGAGAATTTTAATATAAGAATCATACAAAATCAGTTAGCTACCGTGCCGTCTCACAATGCTGCCCATGAATAGTTATGAGCCCTGATTTGGCTTGAAACTAGTCGAGTGGCTTTGTCAAAGAACGTGTAACCCTTAAAGCATAATAACACACAATAGCGGGCCGGCAAAAGCACTTGTGTTTTGTGGGTTGTTGGGGATGGGGGAAAACTTCGGTTTACCTCAATCGCACTTTGAACGCAACGCAAGAATTTATTAATAGCACGGTATCATGTGAGGCCCTGGTATCACTCCGTTCGAGCACAAGCTATTGTATATAATTTCACGGCTTATTGACATTACTCTGACAAACCCACTCGGATATTTTTGTTTATAACCGGGTGAGCGGTGTGTTCGTTTACCAAAGTATCCCATACGAAAATAAGAAGAAATCCTTTCTCTAGTAGCCAAATCTAGTAACAGATGAGGGGGATATTTAGTTTTGCTATTAATTGAACTTAATCTTAACACAGATTTGCTCTCTGCTGCACCACAGCAGTGAAATAAGTATGATAACATTTCCATTTACAATTACTATGCATATTCTTGGAGAAAAATGGGGTGTGTAGAAACTAAACATTAGAATATTCAACATCATAACATCTCAACTAAGTCTATTAATATTTTATTTATACAAAAATAAATATAAAAGACTAGTTTCTGAAATAACTAGAACTTTCTTTCCAGTTTTGTTTCTTGACACTCCATTTCCCAGTCATTCAACATCAATGAAATATAGGTAATGAAAACCAATGGATTGAGATTTTAGAAATATTAAAATAAGCATATAAATCACTAATTAAAATGGACAAAGAACACAATACATTAAAAACGATTTCAAATTTCTTCCATACCATCATACCATATACTCAAAATTACATAAGCTTGTGCAAATTTTCATACTTAAGTTTTAAGCCAGTAATTTTTAAAAGAAACACAATAAAAAATCAAGTCGAATACTGAATTATTTTCATAAAAAAAAATAATCTAATTCCCACTCAGTTTTATAAGGCCGTTACCTGACTAGACTTATTTTAGGCACTTAGGATATTTATTTACGGGCAAATTTTTCAATAGTCAGATAAATGTTATGAGGAATAAAATTGTTGCTGTCACTGTCTTACACAAACATTTTGACGCGACAGCATCATAATTATTCCCCAGACAACTTTTATCTAACCAATGAAAAATCAGGCCGAAAACAACTTTTTAGACTGATTGATGATAAAAAAGCATAAATTCTTATTGCAGTCAACTATTTTTCACTCCTATTTACTTAAGGTTAAAGTCGAAAATATTCCATCTGCAAGTTGTAATTTAATGCATAACTATTTTGTGATAAACTAAGTATGAAGCCAACTATACTTTAAAATATGTTTATTAATTCTTTGAAGGCACTAATGTCGCATTATGTTTTAAAGGCGTTCATTTAAGTACTCGGCATAGGTTATACTTATCATGCATACTTTCAAGTCAAGAATTATGGAACTGCCGTGAACCTTAGTACTCAATATAACATGATCAACATAAATGGATATTTAAATCCTTACTAATAGTATAAATGTAAAAGTTTGTGATGATACTAATCACGCAAAAACGGCTGAAACGATTTGAAATTTGGTATGTAGACAGGTGATATCCTGGATTAACACACAAGCTGCCTTTTATCAATATGCCACTACGTAGATACATAAAAAAGGATAAAATCCTTCAATATTTTATATCCTTACTTAAATACTAAATCGTATCCAAACATCCGACGGTCCTCCTCTCTCCAACTTCACCTATGCGGTGCCTGGCAGGATCCATTGTGAATAAACCATTTATTACAACTTGTACAGCATCATAGTATGCAATAAACTTTTGAGCATTCAGTATTAATGTGTAAACATTTCCAAATAAGAGTTAAATCGCGTATAACTGCTCAATTAAAGAAATTCGTAAGTAATTTCGTCCTTGATGTTATGCGTATGAGTAGCAATAATGTACCAAAATTTATTCAAATCGGTTTAGTAGTTTCGAAGTTTTTTGAGTTGAAAGTGTGCATGAGAAACCCTGCTTATTTCAATCATAGGCAACTTACTGGCTGTGACCAGAGATTACTAACACTAAAATATTGATTTATGGTTGTTTATGTCCTGGTTATAACGAGAACTATTTTATCAATACTTACATTATTATTGTATCATACACATTTGGCATTTTAGTGTGTACCTACTTCAAAATATACGAATTATTTTCATGACTCATTAATTAGTACATTAAAAATAAAGTAGTACTTGAATGAGGAAAAGTGGGAAATCGGAATAAACATTTAGAATAAAACCTTCAAAGTTAAAATCTCTTTTTGGTTATGTCTATCAAAATGATAAACTGAATAATTGATATATTAATTTATTGAAAACATATGTATAATCTACATACACTGTTTGATACTAAACTTAATACTGGCAATTTATTGATCTAGTTTACACATAGTAACAAAATGTCGCAGCCCTAACAAATGTGTATGATACTAACATAAAAACTCGTTCCAAAATGTAATGATTTTATATAACAACGTAGAAAAGTCCAAAACACTAGAATTTATTTACACAAATTGTTTTATGCATCGCTTGGTATTGGTTTCACTTCGTTCACGTGCGAAACTTCTTCATTTGACGATTCCACGATTGAAACTTCAGCGTCACCACACCCGTTTAGCGTCGCTACATCTTTCACTTCATTTAAAAACTTAGATAATACTTCATTAACGTCATTAATGTTCGTATCTATGACTGTGTCTACTACATTTGTGACTTCTGTACTTTCATTTGAAGGTTCCTCTACCGGTGATGCCGCTGGACTCTCATTCGACGTTGATTCCTTCGCTTCCACTGTCGGGCTTTCGATTTCTTTACTCTCTACTTTTTCTGAATTCTCCTGTGGTGTGTCCTCTAAAATTTCATCGTTAACAACTTCTAAGTCACAAAGGTTGATATTAGCATTGTTTATTGCCTGTATTAGATTCTCTAGAGTTTTTTCATCAACCTTCTCAGTTTCAATATCAGTCGTATCTTCGCTGGCACTGGGCTGAACTTCTTCAACGTTGTCAACTTTAGCGGTAGCCTCATCACTTTCGGTATCTTTCATTGCAGCAGCTGCCTTTTCAGCTTCAGCTTTAGCTTTCTCTGCCTTATTCTTTTTCGATTTGGATTTTTTCTGTTTTTCCGGTTTCTCTACTTTTTCAGGTGCAGGCGATTCTTCTTTTTGCTTGTTTGTAAGGGTGTTTAATTGACTTTGTAGGTGTGCGAGACTCTGGCGCAGTTGAGCGCAGTTGGCTGCCATCGCGTCAACCTGGGGATTCAAACATAATTCAGTTAGCTCAGTGTTCTGAAAATGTTGACGTAGTTTCTAAAACCGTCTATAAATATAAAGTATACAACATACCTTAGCATTGGAGGCAGGTTGCTGGGCAAGCGGCGTGGGTGCAGGCGGGGGCGGGGCCGGCATGGGGGGCAGCGCGGGCAGCGCCGGCCGCTCTATGTTGTTGTCCTTCAGCGTGCCCAGTAGTACTGTACGCTCCGCCTGGTACAAACACATTACAAACATCATTTCCATGTTCGAATTTCACATTGTTCATTAATAATTTTAGGTCGGACCCATATGCGAACCTTGGGGAACAACATCACATTTTTTAATAATTTAAAAGAAGTAAAAGTGTACTGTAATCTGTTTCCCTTTTTACGTATACGAATGCCAATATTTAAAGTAGAAACTACAAGAACACTAATATAGATGCTAGAGAGTATGGAGTGGGAGACAGAAGTGGTGCAGTAGTACCTGCAGAGTCCGACAGAGCCCCTGCATGTGGTGGAGCTGCCTGGCGGCGGCGGCGGCGCGCTCCGTGGCGGCCTGTCTCTCGCCGCACATGTCCAGCAGCGCTGTCTGCGACGTCTCCCACCGAGTCTTCCACGATAGAGACTCTTTCTCCAATTTCTTGATCTTCTTTGACATCTAAATACGACACATTATGGTATGAAGACTGAGAATGGATAAAATTTTCCCTATCCCAAATTATCCTATATATTCGTTCTTTTATTGTGATATTTTGTTTCTTTTTAATTCAGAAGAACCGAAAAAAGCTGAAGTCCACCCAGCCATTATTGTATTTTAAGTGGCTTTAATACGATTCGCGACTTGCAGATGACTAAGATTAACTTTGTTAGTAATTACAAGAGAAACTTACAAACTATTGTTAGTAAAATGACATAATTAAGCCTTACCATATCCATTTGCTCCTTGAAACCACCAAACATCTGATTGCTCTTCACCAACGCACTTTGGAACTCGTCATACTTATCCGTGTACACTGCTAACTGACTACGCAAATCTGTAATGAAAGAAAATCGTTTTATGATTTGTTAGCTACTAAATAAACAATTGATTTAGAGTTTATCAAGCTAAACAGAAGTCTTGCAGTTTTTCAAATTACGTAGGATTCATGTTACATTTAACAATCTATTCACCAGTGTAGGTTGAAGATAATTAATGTTGTATCCATAATGTTTAACATAAAAATAGCAATGATAGCTCTCCTGGCTATACAAGAAATATTTAAATCTTTCAAATCCAATATCTTACTGGTCTCATTTCCCTGTAGCTCCATAATCTTGGCCCGGTACTGTGCCAAGGTGACCTTTAGCTGCTCCATCTCAGCTAGCAGCCTCTCCTTGTCTGCTTGGTGTTCAAGGCTAGCTTTCTGCATTTTCGCATCCGACAGTTGGGATTCTAAAGCCATTTGCTTCGCCATTTTATCTACCTGGAATAAAGGAATATTATAGTTTTTTTGCCATTTAGCTGACCTGAGTGTGTATAGTTTTGAATAAATGTTTATACTGTTTGTACAAATTGATGTTTATGTGTACATATGTTTTGGGGAAAACAAATTAATTATTATTCATAATAGCGGATAAAGTATTATCCTTCAAGAGGGAAACAAAATTCCAAATAAAATTTAAAATCTTTACATAATATAACAATACTTTTATTAGTAGATATTTTTTCCAGGAAAAATATTTTGTTGAATGTATAAAATAAACTCAAAATTTATTGTGCTATCTACCTGCTGTTCTCTAAGCTGGTACTGCTGCACAACAGACTTGAATTTCTCGCTCATGCTGATGTTGTCATCTCGGAGCTTGGCATTCTTTTCATTATTCTGCTGCAGCATGGCCGTAATCTCCGACAGAGTGTTCTGAAACTTTGCCTGTGTCTCCTTACGACGTTCCTCCTCTTCACGAATTTTTAGTAGAGATTCTTCCTGTAACATAAATTATTTGTGTAATTATTTACATTGTTCTTGGATGAAAGGAAAGATTTGTCATGTGTTAAAAAAGAATAAGCTAGTTTGAAAATAATTTCACTATTAATTATTTACTGCTATAAGTGATATAGTTTTAGTAAGTTTTCTTTTAATTCACAGACAAAAAGTATATGTAATTAAAAAATACACTAGGATTTTGAAATGCTGTGCTATATGCATATCAAAAGCCTGGTACATTTAACAATAACATACAATAATTTTACACTTTAAATAGTATTTCTAGCATTTTAATCATACACTAGAAGGTGACACAGTATCATTGCCATTGCCCTAAAAGAGCATGAAAACAACTTGGTGGCTTTTAGTCAGTTATAGACACTACCTCTCTCCCCACCCGGCAAGAGAGGGGCGAGAGAGATTATATGATGATAACCCCATTAGAAAAGCCATCTGCATTCTATCCATATGCATCTATTGTACAAAAGACTGGACAACTAATAACAACAAACTGAACTAATGAAAATCTGACCAATGCCATGTTATACTGAGTTTTATGTTGTGTGGCATTTTAAAGTTTAAGTATCAGAATTATAGGATACTAGCCTCTCTCGCGCGAAACAACACTCTCTCTCTACCAGTGAAAGTATTTTGGAAATCCGACCAGCGGTTCCAAAGATGAGCCCCTACATACAAACTTTATATTACCCTGGTGTCTGCTGCTAAGGATTTCAAGTGATGGAAATGTGATGAGGTGATAACATCATAGTGTCACATTAATCATACAATATAAAATGGGTGGTCTTAACACACAGAGTAATTTCTTCCAGACAGCGTTTGGGGGTCTATTTAAGGATTAAAAGAAATATAAGTCCTAGTAATTCAGAACATATGAAAAAGTAATAAATTAATAAGAAAATCTTATATAATTAAAAAAATACAAAAACTACTACAATCTAAAAAAAAAATTATAGTGAAACTAAAATATGTTAGTCTTATTTTCCAATCTTAGAGATATTCCTTGATAACAAACCTTAATAGCCTTATTCTGTTTTTGTAATTCCCTGCAGAGATTCTCCAACTTAGACTTAACGAGAACAGTCTTATTGAACTCCAGTTGTAACTGTTCCTTCTCTTTCAAAAGCATTGCGTGGCGCTTGTCCGACTGCTTGATGTAAAATTGCATCTTTTTATTATCATCCGCAGTCTGCACATACTTCTTACAAACTAATGATAGTTTCTCCTCTAGTGTTGGAACAGAATTCAAGGATTTCATAAACTGTTCTACATTTTTATCATCTCGTCTACTGCGGTCATCTCGTTTCCCCTTTTTTACTTCAAGCGGTGGTGTTGGTGTTGTTTCCTGCAAATTTTAGGTTCTTGTAAGTTTCTTTATAATTAATATGTTTGTTATTATTTTTATTGCCAATGTACCTACAATAAAATATGTTGTATAATTATTTTTCTAAATTTAAAGGTTAATGAAATGCTTGTGGTACTATTTTGGTACTAAAAATCACAAAAAGTGGAATTTACAGGTGTAATCTAATAATAGACATCCCATCCAAGGAATAATTTGACCTAAATGTAGCCATTGTGTGTAATAAGACCCTTCTTTTTAACGTCAAAATACGAAATCTGACTCTGTCAGCCAAACAACATTAATATTGTTTTGCAGTTAAATTCAGTGTTTGGATCAGTTGAAAGTATTTTTAAGATGTTACTTAAGGTCATAAAGAATTGAGCATCACTCTACCATTAACCATAAAAGCAGAAAGCATGTGAAACGTGCTTCCGAACAAAAATATCAAAAACATTACGGGAATTGGCAATTTGCCAACAAACTTTCAGGTTAACATTTCTCCTATTTTCGACTTGAGTTTAATACATAGGAACAGTTTTAACTATTATTCGTTGTCATTAAATTCATGTCTGGTGCGAAAGCAGTTCCAAAATTCATGCTTAATACCGGCAAATTGCATGTAATGTGAATCAATCGTTTGCCGACATTCGATAGCGTTCTATTTATAAACCTATTGAATTTTAATAGTTTTAACTTACTGTGGCGGTATTGTTAGATTGCACATTTTCTATGCTTTCTTTTTTACTATCTTCCGTTACTGCTTCCATTTTAAAACAATTTATCTCTTCTAAATTTTTCTAAACAAAACGGAACAAGACGTTTCTGTTAGGGTTGTCCACTAAGCAAAACTGACGAAATATATAGAGAATCGAGAAAGCGAGATACCGATAATTTGACTATTCGCATCCACTACCATAAATTTAAATCGATTTCAGTCGTTGATGTTCATTAAAATTAAAAATGAGCCAGTAGTATTGCTTTTGAAGTATTTTAATTAAAATTTAAAAATTTGCAGTAACTGAACGACTTTTATACATGACTATGCTAACTTGCAGCTGTAAAATAACTACAATCGGTCATAAAGCAACAACACAATCGATCAAATAAAGTCGTTTTACAAACGTAGCAACACTATTCGCTCGTTCAGAAACAAAAGACTTAACCTAACAATGTATTCACACAAATGAATAAGTGCTTAAAATTATATAGTGTTACTTCAAAAATCTAATAATTTTTACATGGCTGTTACTTGTTGGTAAATGTTTAAATTATTATTGTTTTTCGTTCAAATTTTACAACGTTTAATCTGGTGCTAACCAGAAATTTGCGGTTTTTTAATGTTGCTACACTCGTCGTTTTCTACTACCTCAGAAACAATATTAATTTAAATACTTTTATTATAATCAGGGACGAAAAGGTTATTTTCAGCAAATAATCAAGGTTTTTCATTGATTTTTCAATGATGATTTTGATATTTAATCGGTAACTTGGTTGTAAAATTGTTGTCTAGCGCTAGATAGTAGCGATTGATTAGTAGGTATATAAATATTAATATAACTAACTAACATCGCGATAATGATTTGTGTGTTTGAGTACTAAAAAAAGTGTACTTTGAACCCAATTTCGACCAACGGTTTTGTTGGTACGTGAACGATAGCGTTGATTGAGTGAAACCCAGCGAAAGTGATTGAGTATCTATTACTCTGACACCTTTAAATTTTATTTTTTATTTATCCATTTATTTCAGGCATTCAAGGCCCATATAAACATATACAGTTCTATATTTTATAAAACTTTACCATAAAAATGTCATTGTAAAGTTATGTGGTGTGTTAAACTGCTTGTGCTTCCTTATGTAAAGTAAAAATCTACTTTAGATGACTAGTAATTTTATGGTTTAATTTCTAGTAGATTTTATGTGTTCTTTAGTAGATTTTTACTACCAAGAAGGGCAATACTGAATATATCGGTCCCGCTCACACACATTCCGTCAAAAAGAACAGAAGCGATCAGTCGGTGAGTAATCTTTTCTCTGTTAAAATTATAATAAAGCTGCCGTTTTAGTGTTAGTTTTCATAATAGTCTTAAAATTTATAAAGTGAAATATTTAAGTGTCGAATCGCATAGGTAAGTTCGTTAATTTTATGAATTAAAAGTAAAAAAAAATAGACACCGGCTGCTAGACATTGGACGCGAGCCGTTATTTTTCAAGATTTTTGTAAAGGTCAATGCGCTTTGATGCCGCAGGACGAGATGTCCATGTCTCTGGGCATGGGCGTGTGGATTATACCGCATATTTGCATATAGAATGGCGTTAAAAATTGGATTTTACCGGATTTGAACACGCTAGCGCACGGGGCGTAGGAACAAAAGAATCGAAACCGTTATATTTTGTTTGCCGCATGAATGGAGTGATCGCGCTACATGTATGATAGATTCATTATATTTACAGTTACACATCTAAAATAACACATAATTGCTTGGATTTAATGTGTTTTCGTGTTCTTGTTTTTTCCGTTGGAAGTAGGTGCATTACATTTTGTGCCGTTATGGACATGTATTGAATGAGCGAACTTCTGTTTTGTACATTTTTCCTTGTCTGGAATGTGGCTAGCCGTTGCAGTCTAAAAATAAAACATATTTCGTTGTTACCTTTGGAGGCTTTGGTCATAATCTTTCTGGTTAAGCTCTTAAAGTCTTTGTGATAAACATCCAATACAATTCATTGTCATTTACGAATATCTAAGTAGGTACCTATTTAATTACTTAATCGATTCTTTTACATTTTGCTGTTTTATAAAAATATAATGTAGTTGTTCATGGCAGTCATTTTTTTAAATGAAAAACCCAGTATCTACTCTCTCTCTTTCAAAGAGCACATCCCATTATAATTATTTTGAAACAACAGTTTCATCAGCTTACATGCAACACAAATTACATCACTACCTTAATTACTTACATACAAAAAATCTATACTTCTATACTAATATTATAAAGAGGTAAAATTAGTGAGTTTAAGTTTGTAGGGGGTAACATTTGGAACCGCTGGTCTGATTTCCAAAATTCTTTCACTAATAGATAGCTACAATGTTCCTGAGTGCTATAGGCTATAAAACATCACGCTACAACTTAATGGAGCCGAGCAGCTGGTGAAACGGCGCGAGAGTAGCTAGTATTCTATATTTGAGATACTATTATTTAACCTCTGCAATCTTAATGTGGAGTCAACAACCTCTCTTTATCGTTTTCCATAGTTTATCAGTAGCTTTGTGCTTATTTCTCTCGTCATTGGTACATGGAACTAATATTTATGAAGTTTGATATAACAATATCTATAATAGGCTTTGAAATTATATCTACATAGAATTAATTGTTATTGATTGTAGGTAACTAATTTTGCTAACAAGTACTTGCATTAATAATTTTTTTTAATAGATTCCTTATGTTTATTTTGTTGCGGTTAACACCACAAACTGAACTGGCCAGCGCTTCATTATCACAAGCAGTTCCTTTTTTAAATATTATTTATTTTTTAATAACCTGTTGTTATGTATGGTACTAGTTGTACATCACTATATTTAATTTCATTTAGTAAAAAATCTCCATTTTGACACCAATTTAGTAATCCTGTCTTCAGAACGGGTCCACTTAAACTGGTGTGGTTCTTTTCCTCAAAAGACCACTACAGAATGAACTTGCACGGTTCTCTCACATTATGTTATTTTACATTGTCTGGACTTGAAAAGAGACTGACCTCTGAGTTTGTTTCGGCATTTCTTCTCAGAGTAGTCAGATAGGAAATGACGGCTTCATCTAGTTTTTCACATATAATTTGACGTGTAAAAGTGCCGTTTTATGGCCTATTTGCAAAAATAAATTCATTGTTTCATTAATGTTAGTAGGTTCTTTATTGGATTTGTTATTTACATACAATCCAATTTTTTCCCTATAATCTTGTTGTTGTAATCAATCATAACTACAATTGAACAGATTTAGTTTTCATAGGGGAAATTTTTCAATTCCAATGATCTAATTATAGGCATACCTAGTAAGTGATTGTCCTAAACTAGTAATTATTTCCAGGTGTAATTGAACAAAGTTTGTCATGTGTTTACGTGTATGGATCAAAAATTTGATTGAATATGAATAGATCGCGGACTTTCTACTTTTACCATAACTTTATGTGCATGATATCTTCAGAAAATATCCCGACTTTCGCAAAAATGCCACAATTGTAAATTCACGTCATTATTAACAGTAAACATTGTTTTCTTATATGAAAAACGTAATATGTAAACAATTTAATTTGTTCAGTATAATTAGTTTAGTATTTTCGAATACAAAGACACTTGTGATACGTCTTGTCATGTGTCTCCGACCACAAAGGCGGCTACACAACCGCAGACCATTCCTGGAGGGCCCTCCGAGCGTCATTGCTCCATATTTGCATGTACAAAGCCATTACACCTACTTCCTCAGTGCGTGTAACCACATTCCGATCTAATGAACCTTCCTTTATGTTTCGTGATTTCGATTTATTAATTACATTCGCCCTCTTTTCGAGCTAAGTAAATTAGCCTTCCGAACAAAGATGCTGACCAGGTATTTCGGCAGTGATAAATAACTTAGCGCTAATTAAATTTCCTTTATCTTCGTCCTATACTTTCTGGCGTATTGCCAAGACCTGATTCGCTTGAAGGCATTAATCGGGATTTCGTTGGCAAGCTAACTTGTTATTTAGCTTTCGCTATCCTGTTTTTGGCTTCAGAACTACGTAATAGATTTTTCTCTACAAAATATTTTGCTAAAACGTAGCAATTTCTAAGCAGAAAAGTTTTTGGAAGGTTACTACTGGTCGTTTTAATTATTTTTTCCACCTAAAAACTTTCATAATGAATATAGAATCACAACGAACGATGTGCTTGTCTGATAGAATTCTGGTTGGCACTTATATTCCCTTGATGGAAAGCTAGATATTGCCAGTTGATTGTCAATCAGCAGTAGTGAAAGGTGGCTTATTTATTGCATACGTAGAATCGTCAGTTTCTCTCGGAACGGAATAAGAAGATATAACATCGCAAACGCTTTTATATAAAAATAGAATGAGTTTACGAAGCCTTTTGTTGTATCTCTAGACCCGTTTAAGAAGCTATCTCAATACAACATTTTATTATACATATTTGTGTCTTCATGTCGATATATTCTCAAGAAGCATTGGAGAACTTTTTTCATTACAGCAGCAGTCTCATAACAATAATTTCAGCTCGGACCTTTTTGATTAAGTCTGTTGTTCGGCAATAATACCAAATACGGTATTACCCAGTCTTTTAACTTCTTTTGGGTGCTGGTCTTCTTTCTATTCGTCTATTGCTTGTCTGCCACTTTCATATCACCAATATCATCATCAACATTATCTGTAGCGTTGTTTTGGCATTAAGTACGCATTAATCCTCTGATCTTAATTTAGTTGTGGCAAGATGATCTTGGGCACTATGATTTCTAGAACATTCTTCGGTAGAGTTCCGTTCAACAAGAGCCGATTACTATAGAATCTAGATACAAGAAATAATGAAATCATCGTTAGCTATGCAGAAATCTGTAGAATTTGTAACCGTGATGAAATGTACAGTTTCACTCGAGTAGGACCAAGTAGATAGCATTGCTTCCGAGGTTCGTTAAGTAACCGGGTTACCCTCGGCTGATTACAACTTTGCTTCGATAACGAAGATATTCTCGTGTTTACATTTCATTATAAATAACTCATTGTATAGCATAACATTAGGAGGAACCATGTGCGTTCGTTGAACTTAAGTACCTACTTAGATTTTTCATGTTCACGTCACGAATTGTAATTTTTAAACGAAAATTTCTGCTCATATAGCATTTCATTGTTTCGTTTGTCAGTACCTTTATTTGGGGTAATTGGGGCAAATAATCCAATCGGATTTGTAGTAATTTTAAACGCTAAGCGTACTTTGCCGTCACGTGTTTGGTCACGTAATTATTGTTTGGATTAAATGGGATTACTTATATGGCATAGATCGGTGTTTACGACAGTCGTAATAAGAATGTTTTTCTTGAGGTTAACTTGGGAGATGGAGCCGACATTTTGACACTAGTCTGAATCCGTGTCTGCCTTTTAGGTATGTAGGTGGGTCACTGGATTTATATGTATCGAAAAGCCAGTACGAGAGACCTAAATTCACTTGGATGTACGTGGGCTGTGCAAACAGGCAAAACAAGCCCAAGTTTGTAATAAAATGAAATTATGAGGCCCTCGAACTTTATTGGCGAACCGTTTCTCTTTAGTGGTCACTTCAACGACCTAATGCGGCCCGGCCGACCTTCCCTATAAGGTCTATATTCAATTACTCATATAAATTCGGTTCATTTGTCTGTTCTATCAGACATCAAAGGAGTATTTAATGCGCAGTTATCTCGTTCGCCCTCTACGCACTTGCTAGTTAAGTACTTACAAGTTATAAGTGCCTTGTATGAACACGATACTTGTTACCATGCTGCAGTTCATAAGTGGAAATATTCAGACGAGGTTGTAGATACTTTTTAAGCAAACGAACATTCAATACTGATTTCTAATGGCTTAGTTATAACAGCAAAAGTATGTGCTGCTTAAGATCAGAACAAGTTTATAAAGTAAATATTTTATACAGACCTCCTTTACCTTTGAGGTCAAGATAATATAATGATATCTACTTACGATGCACTTTGCATCGACTGTGAGTCATGCCTACCAACTTACGCTCAGTACCTATATTTTTGAAACGATGCAATTTAATGGACTATTGTTATCTATAGTTTTCTGTCTACAATTAGGATTTGCATTGCCTGTAGTTTTGCCCAATAATAACAAGTGACGCTCCAGGCCGTTTTTTTTTTTTTTTTTTTTTGTGAGGGGAAAATCATCAAATGACTTCTCCCGCCCAGGGCCGGGCAGGAGGGAGTGTCAGACTCTTACTGACTAAAAACCCCCCTGTTCCTTCTCCTGCTCTGTGCCGAGGTCGCGGTACCTCATTGCGCTTACCCCGCAACCCCGGCTGAACATCAGCCCTTTAGGGCCCCGTCTGTGGTGGTCTATTGGCTCTTTGAGGCGCGCGCGGAACGCTACGCGCCGTACGCTCGGGCCTGGTTCTGGTCGGGCGGCGAGCTGCCCTTACTCGCCGACCGCAGGCCCGTACTTACGGTGGCCGGAGATCGTCCCTCGATCCCCGACGCCCGTAGTGTCGCCAGTTGCGGCTGCTGGGGCGTGAGGAGGAGGATTGCTCCCTCACGCGGGCCGCCTCTCTCTTTGCGAGCATGACTGCTTCACAAAAGGAGGAGACGGCGTCCCAGTTCCTCTCACTCCGCACCATGGCCTCGACTAAGGCCGGGCGCGAGAGGTCGCCGCCGCCGATCACTTCCCTGAGGATACGGCGGTGCTCAGCCCAGGCAGGGCATACCGCTACCGTATGCTCCACCGTATCCTCTAGGTGGTCCTCACGCTCCAGGCCGTGACTCAGACATTTATATCGATCGTAATGTAACTCTAGCTTCCGGCTGGCTTCCTAGATCGTATGACCGGTTGTAGTCCTTACTAAGTACTGTGCAAATGAATGCAATAAGTATATTTTGTTAGGGTGCGACCACTGAGAGAGATCGCCTTGCTTTATGTGTCTGTATTATTTTGAAAAGGCTTTTTTAACTTGAAAATAGGTGTTTTGAACTTTTGAACGAAACATAAAAAGTTATTCACATAAAATTGTACGATTAATGCTAACTTTGCACGCTCGACGCGCCCCTTGCCTATATGTCCGCACCCTAAAACGGCTGAGTATTGAGTGATTCATTGGGTAAACCTACGTTCGCATTGTCTTTGTGTCTAGTTTAAAGCCCTCGGCTCCCCAGACAGGTAATACAACACCAGAATAACGATGCTTTCGACACTGGCGATATACTGTGGGCTTAGGAATACTTATTTCATACTACCCACATTACCTACGTAGTTTAATATCTGAAGTTAGCGAGGAACTTCGCTTTTAATAAAACTGTAATTTTGTGTAAATATTCATTGAACTAACCAGCATGTTATAACATCTTTCTACTTCCATGAATGCATCGCTTTCTCGTTACAGTGTTAAAAGAACTCAAATATTACCTAAAGACATCCCAATATCTCGTCCAACTCTGCTAGGCTGTCCGGTAGAATGGCTGCCAATCGAGAGGCTTTAGAAAACTGGTAAGTTTAATATTATCCCTAGCTGAATAATTGTTTTTTTGCCGTGTTACTGCAATAGAATTGATGGCAGACACATTAGCGACACTTTACATCACGCCTAAATTATAATGTTCACTTGATGAATAGACTAGAGCTTGCTTCAAGTTCCTTCTGAAAGTGTGATGTGGGGTAGCGTTTTGTGCAAGATGTGGAACTCACATTTTCAGTTTTGATTCACACTGCGTTTTGGTTTATATCCCACAATACAATTCAACAGGCAATGTCAATTTAAAATGACAGGAAAATACCCGGTCTGTTCTATTTAGACCTGGTTCAGATAAACTGTGTGCGCGTATCGCCACTTCGCGCGCAAATTGTTCCTGTCACCGGGCGGCCATTTTGGAATACCAGTTACATGACGATTTGTCTGAGAAAAATAAATTTACTTAAAATCATAACCATTCTGTCAGGAAGGAAAGTACAGGAAATTGGAATTGGCTGTGAAATAATTTCTGCAGGTTGGGTGCGGTATTGTGACGTCTGAAGTAGTTCTCAGTTTAACAACCATAGCCATAATTAGATTTAAAATATGTTTGGTAATTTGCTATGCCTAAGTAGAAAAGTTTTCAATTTCCATTGTATAGTAATTTTTTTTTTATAGCTTTACTATTGTCGTTAATCTAATTGCATGGGGTGTACATTGAACTGGTTGATCACGAGGGTGGGGTATTGAATAAATAGTTACTAGGAATACATAACTATAGCAGATAATAGACACAGAACACGCTAATATACGCTATTTGTTTTGAATTTTGGATCCCCATGTCAACACGCTGTTGTCGCATGATTTTTACGCTGTTTTGTTTTGTTTTATTGATTTTGCCATGCTTGAGTAGTAGTTATACATTTTGTTACAGATTCCACAAATCTGGTTACAGCATGTTTATATTGTTTTAGAAAATCTTTATTGGGTATACGTCAGGGTAACCTACATATAAGGGCATGGTCTATACGAAAAACGACAATAACCATTTTGTGATTTGAGTGGTTATTCAATCAAGTCGTATGGATATTTTTGTAGAAACAAGTAATGTCTATAAAACTCGAATCACTGTTTCTAAAACCGTTACCTATCAATTAAAGCATGACGCGTACAGTTATATTCAGAGTTAAAAACTTATGTTACTTAACTACTACATGAGTAAGTACTGAGAATTACGGCTATCATCAACTGAACAGAAAATAAGTGACTACTAAAACAGTTATTTAATTTGGCAGCCATGTTTTTGCAATATGGCAGCGAACCGACAAGCAACTGTCGCGTCGCGTCGGTGCCATCTGTTCACCGTTGTTGTTTTCTGTTTTAATCGACTTCTTATGTATAGTTAAGAACCTAAGAGCTTGTAGTAATAATTATTTTATTACAAGGGAACTTCCACAGAGCAGATTCAAGACGTTTAATTTATTTTGTGGGAGCTCTCACTTTCGTGAATTTATCCTGTTCGGTAAGATAAAAAAGTAGACTGGCTCATTTATCTGTGATGTCCCGGAACGTTGATCTGAGTGACACAATGTGTTTATAAGCGTGTAATAGACATGCTTCGGCATGAATGGTAGGCTCGATCGGAGTGATACCACGACCTTAGAGAAAACCTGCGTGAAACAACCACAGCGTTGTGTTACGCTGTGTAAGTAAGTTTAACGGAGGCCCAATCCTTTTCCTTCTTTCCCTAAATCCTAAACCCCAAAAGGCCTTTAGGCAGTAAGTAAGTCCTTTGGTGTTGTCCGTCCAGGGGCGGCACCGCTTCTTGCCGTAACAGGTAATCCGTCTGTTCGTTAGCCGTTCTATCTCAAAAAACCATTGTATTTGAAAGAAATGAGAAATGATATTATTACAATTTCTTAGTTTAAGCATCTCTAAAAATAGTAACTGAAATTCTGTGAAATGCTTATACTGTTTGAGTATTTCTTGCAACGTAAACCTGCTGAGAAGAGCCAACGATTAGATTAATCATAAAAAACAATATTATTTTGAAAACATTTCTGAGAAATGTAACTTGGTCACAGACTCATATTACAGGGATTATTCGTCAGTCGTGATTCAAATTTAACAACTGTAACGAAATCTCTGACGCATTCTTTAAAAAACTTTAAATAGGTTGATTCATAGATAATTGCTTTTCTTATCGAGTTGATTGAGTTTATTTTTAATCCTATTTGCAACAAAATAGCCTTCTTAAGGTCATCTATATTTTGTTAATTAGCTAACTTTCCTTTCCAAGAAGATTGGTGGAAAAAATGTCTTGGATCAATCCTTCCTCGTGCACTCTCGACTAGCAATTGAACTTATTGAACTTAACATCTTGATCAAGCGAATATTATTATTGTCATTACGATTTGGATTTCCAATTTTTTAAAGATCTTTACGCTGCCGACGCGTTTTATAGAATAGTTTTATTTGTCGCTACTATACAAACTTCTGATAGACATCTACTAAGTAAATAGCACTGTAATGGATTCACTGATTGATCAAATTGTAGGTTATCTTGATGTCGATAAAGTATTATAGGTAGATTAAGGGGCAATGTGTTTTTAATATTTAGTACGTGTTCGATATTGTAGTGGTGTGGAGGTTTTTGGTTTACTTTAAATTCTTCATATAGTTGCTGACAGTTAAAGGATATATATTTTTGATTTGGTAAGTGCATAGATAGTGTGCGATTTTATGATTGAATTTTGTGCTTTATCACGGTCTGAATGAGGCAGCACTTGTGTATTTATAATTAGGCATTTTGAAAGAGATTTCAGAGACGATACGTTGCGTCTTTGAAATACTTTTCATTTTCGCATAATACTTTAGCCATCTGTCTTCTTATCCTGTAGAACTTTTTCAGTAACGTTAAGTCGACTCACGGTATGCCAAAAAGTATTATCGTAACAAAGGCAAGCGAGGAAAAAAATCATAGAATTTTGATTAAGCAGAGCTAGAATCTGTAACAAATGGTGTAGATCTACATTATCCTAAATTCGGTCGAGAAGAAAGCAAGCAATCTTCACGAATATTAATGAATGTATCTACTCGCAAAGGATATTAGTAATTGCATTAATAAAAATATTTTGTCTCATTGTTATAAGTATGGTTCGCAAGAATTGGCATGAATCAAAAATTGACGACGCTTAAAATCGGTTTGTCAACACACGCCGTTTACCAAGTAAAGATAGGCCTTTCCCCTTTCCTGTTGTTATCAAAGGATTATTGATAGCGTTATCGGTTGTTGTTATATACTAAATTGCTATTATTAGTAAAGGGTTGGGTGTTGTTGTTGGTTTCATTGGTGCATACTAAACTGGGTTAATCTGGAATCATGATGCTTTAAGCTGACCAATAAGTCGTCCTCTAGTCGAGTCATAGCGAGTTTTTTTATTATAGTATTGGACGTATGTAGTAATATTTTCTTTGTACAAGGGTATGGATGGTCCATATGGCCATGTATGCTTGAGTAAACATCCCGAAGTCGCAACATTGAATATGTTGATGTGTAACTAGTTATATCAGATTTCTATGTCATTTGCTGCATCAATGGTTTTACTTTAGTTATAAACTATACAATGTCACATTGAAATTAAAGTGGTCAGAGTCAATCAGAGTTAGAGTCAGAGTCATTTAGAGAATCTAGTCATCTAGTCTTGTATTGGTTTTGTATTGCATGTCTAGATTGAAACAATGATGGTTTGCTTTTAAGAGTTTAAGTCTTCCAAAAAGGGTACTGGTTAAATCCTATACCATTCATTTTGGTATCACGAAAACTTCTAACATCAAAAATCATATAGGTTTGTATCATAAACCTAAATAACACTTAAAATGTGTAAACCCCTACTTTCGTTGTAATTAAGGGCTGTGCGTGCCCAAATATTCTGAACCAGGTCACTCCAATTTGAAAGCTATTTAGATCGTACGAATGCCTAGTTTCAGATCATTTACAGGGTCACACAATACATGAGAATGCTATAAAAGTACATTAAGCATTCGTATTGTCTCGCATTAGACACTCGATTTATGAGAAACTATTGTTTTCCCAGACAATGACGTGGCTAGTCATTAATGATCTTTGAAACTGACTGGAGATGCAGCATTGATTATCTTTTAGCAATCAATAAATTTATTATTTTCTTATTAAAAGGCATCGTTATCTTTTGTAAGTGTTCTACAGACCAAGACTGGACTTAATTAAAACTTAGTTTAACAATCCTATCTGTTTGCATCAATATTTCAAGTGATGAACTTTGTTACAATAATGAATTGCAAATGTCTGCCTCGCGTCACTACGGCACCATTGTCTTGTTCGATGCTGTGGAGGATGTACCTCATCCGCATGAATAATTATATTAATGAGCTTTCTATCTGGATTTAATTAATTACTCAGCTGCCGATATAATTACATTTCTATGTAAATAATAGACGTATGCTTGTGTGTAAATTTTATTCCATTTTACGTGATAATTATAATGAATTACATTCAGAGACATATTGTCTGTGATTATGTTATCGATTCAGCAGAATATTGAAGTCAGGACACAGCAATTTTGTTATCGCTTATGACAAAACTTAAAATAAAGCTGTTAACTTAAATCAGGCCATAAAAAGACTTATAATACACTCAAGATCGTCTATCCAAAAATGAATGCTTTGTTCTCCGTTAATTCTCCCAAAGAATTTAAATTTAATTGGCGCTAAAATGACAAAAGTACATAAAGTTTCCAAAATTGGCTTGTGAAAAATGGAACACTAGCTACTTTCTTCCCACGCTTTAAGCAAGGAATGTACCGTGGGTGAATGAAAGCGATGCCTTGAGATAATTTAAACAGTTAATCTTTGTTTTCTTACATCCTTCGTAACAACTACGTAGATATATACTAATCTAAAGTAGATTAATGTGCATAGATATCTATTAACCACACGATTTATATCCGTGAGATGAGTATGTATCGTAATGTAGCATGAAACTTAATACGGAATTGAGGACTATATGGGTAAACGATGTCCTTGGCCCTTACTTTAGGTACATACACGCGAAACAGGAGCTTGTCTGGTTTCGCAATTCTTTGTCAGTGTTTAAGGTTACGGTATAAAACCTCTTTGTTCGTTGAATTTTGTGTGTTAGTGCTTTCATCAACTGTTTGCATGCCACTGCTCTTGGCCTTCTCCTAGAATCTTTTCAATGAGGCCAGAATGGTGTTCCTCTAGGCCGATCCATACCTGGCTGACACTCCCATACCAAAATTCCCTTATTTCTCCATTATTCACGGAAATATTTTCTATTCCAGTGCCAGAATGACTTCAACTTCTTTCAACGTTGGTTTGGCTGACAACACGAGGCTGTCCAGCCGTGTGCTGCGGCCCCCTGGCGGTGGTCACACCGATATCTTCGGAGGAGAGCCCGAACCCCAGCAGACACACCGCCGTGGACCACCTGCTTCTACCATCGGTTTCGTAGTTGGTGAGTTATGATCTTGATATAGCTGTAGGAGAAATGAACAAGTGTTAGGGAGTTTTTTTTTTTTATTTAAAGATTAATCAACATGTTTTCGTTGTTCTAAAGCACTACGAGTTTTAATGTTTAAGGTTCAAATCCTTACTCATACTAATAGAATTAACAATCTCTTTCAGAGGAACTTATGATTTTTAGATTCTGTTTTATTACATGAAACACTGATAAAACAATTTTTGTAAAATAAAACTGAAACAATAATGAAATACATTAAATTAATTATAACGTTGCTCTTTTATAAATAATAAAGAGGATTTATTTTATAATTCCAGGCCAGGAAGAGCCAAAACCAACTAACGGCACAGACGCATCCAGCCAGAACGGCCAGAAGAGCCCTCAGGAGGCGGCACCGGCCCCAGTGGCTGATGCCCCTGAGCCCAAGGCCGCTAGCCCCGTGGCCGCGGCGCCAGAGCCAGCCAAGGTTGAGCCCCCCAAGCGTGTCCGCGTACCGCCCGGCGGGTTCTCTTCAGGTCTCTGGTAAAGCAGCCCTATACCCGCTTAGTTTTGTCGCGCTGAAGATTCCCGGTGGGACCAGATTCATACGTTTACATTGGCCACTCATTAATTCACTTCTCTAACTGAACAAAATATGTGTTCCTACACTTATTGTAAATTCATTGATGTCACGGTTTAACTAACGTAATCGTATGTACCCGACTAGTTCAAACGATCTGAGAGTTCTTACTACATCGCGTCCGCGCTCCGCATCTGCTCACGAATAAGAGCACTATACGAGATCGACACCTAGTCGGGTACATCGAAATTAAGTTTAGTTAATACTTTTACGTAAATACACGCGAAAAAATTAAAGTCATTGGTTAGGTGGAAATTGTGAATGTATATAAGTCAAGCTAAACTTTAACCAAATTGGGCCAAAAAACCAATTGACCGCGCAACGGTCCGATGTAAACGCTTCGTTAGGTTTATTTAGGGTATGCTGTGCCTTTGTGTTTTCAAGTTGCGTTGGTTGTAGATAGTTTCGTTGAAACAAGTTCGCTGCCTGGTCCCCTGTCCGGGTCTCTGAATGTTTGCTTGATAAGATAACGATGGTTCTTTTACAATCCTCGCAAAAAGGAATTCTTTAATATTTACTGAGCAGGAATTTTTTCAATACTAGTATTATTTACCTATATAGTTAGGAAATTATTTTTCGTATATTTTAGTCTTAACATTGTACCCAGCTTCTGTGTCAAAACAAAGCGTTTTGCCAAACTCTCTCTATTATGAATCTATAGGTCACAATTTGGTTTAGATGTCCTACAAGGCCAAAGTAATTTTACACTGAACTATTTAAATTTTTATGCAAATTTCGACTCTACGTGTAGCGTTTTTATTACTATTATCTTGTAAGGCTTAAAATTGATAATGTATCGATTGTATGTTAGCGTTTCGATAATTTTGATACTTTTTATAAACAGACTGATCTGTGCCTATTTCGTGTTGATGTTGTACTTGAAATTTGTCTCAATTTAGCATTTCATGTGTTGCAGTTGTGGTTTTTATTACAAAATAACTATTGTATGCCTTCGCTGGCAAATGCGATTATGTATAATATTGATTGATAATGATAATTGTATTTTTATATGAATTACAAAATGTGAAAAACATATTTTGATGTTTTATTTTAAAATTCCAAGAGTCCTAGACAATGTATGAGCAGCACCACGCTTGCTCAAGGTGGATTGGCGATATCAATTTATAATTTGAAATTATGCAGTCTGAGTTTGTTTCTTCTTTAAAAAAAATAACTTGGTTGAGTCAAAAACCGTAAAACCATGTTTCGAACCTGCACTCCTACAATATGAGAAGCGACCGCCTTCAAACTTAGTTCACCACGACAACAGGGTATGTGTTTCTAAAACAACGCAATCACTAATGCTGGTAACGGACGGCATTTTTTTTAGAAAAATCTTGCTGTTTCTCCTGTATGTGGTGCGTTTACAAACATACAATATTACATTACATACTAGACACCCAGACCCGGAACAACAATTTGTGGATCACACAAAGAGTTGTTCCGTGCGGTGCGGGAATCGAACCCGCGGCACTCTGGGGCAGCTAGTGGCCCAGCCACCGCGCCAACTGTCCAGTCTTATAATTTTATAAAATAAAGATTTTAAATTATTTAGATAAGTATTTTATTATTCGTGGGTGATAATAATCAGATCGTTTGATGATGATGATGAGATGTCTCCACTAGAGCAGGTATACTTTTTTTTTTTAATTAAGTATTTTATAAGCTGATCCTCTCATGCCTTCATAGTTATCAAAATAAGTATTTTCCACCCCTATAGGTACCTACCTACTGTGAAACTTTTTACTGGACGTAAAAACTTATTGCAACTGTCACTAACACGAAAAATAATACACAGCAATGGTCGCTGGTCGCCATACCACAACAATCCGTCAAAATGTTAGCCACATATAAATAAATCATGAAATAATATTGAGAAACAGGGCACATGCCCTTGTTCATCATATCCACGTAAATATACCATCTTTAAACTTTATAAATTGAAATGTAAGTTACCTAATTGTAATAACCTACTAGATTATTGTCATTATAAACGTACCTACCGACATGAAAAGTGAATTTGTTGATGTAACAAGAGCACGCACTATTTAATTTTTTCTTTCTTAGGTCTGTACCTATTATTAACAATTCATCCACACGATTTTTACCTTCACGTCATGAACCTGCAATTAGCACCATCCTGGACCTGTCTCGGATTGGACGACAAATTTCTCTTCTCTGGTCATGTAGTCTACCTAGAAATACCTGTGACTTATCCTATTACTTATTCTAGCATAATCACAGTATTTCCACACGGGCCAGAAGGCACGGTATGGAGGGCGGGGGGCGACAGTCACGGCTTCTCAGCAGGTTGCTCAGCAGACTCAGAGGCGATCACCACAAGTACGACACACTGGAAAAACAGTTCTCGTTTTCTACCGCGTAAGCAAACAAAGATACATTATAAAAGTACAAAAACATAATATAGGTATAATTAACCTTTGTGAGGGCTTGGTGGAACTGGCACGCTATTGATTTAAGCATCTCCTTACCAAAATTCATTAGCAGTTTTTTGGTAGTTTTGGAGTGATAGCAGCGCCTTGTGAGAAGCTTGGAGCTTTTAAACTGCTAAACGGATTATGGCAAACCCTCAAAGGAATAGAAGTCTCATAGTCCATTAGTTGGCGGTCCCAAACTGTTATCGGGCAGCAAACGAACAGACGGTTCATGACATTTTATGATGCGTTGCCGGCATTTTGGGGATTAGGAATGTGAGGATAGGAGGGGAGAGGAAGGTTTCGTTCTCCGTTAAACTCAAAAACACGGCGAAACCACGCCAGTATTGTTTTACGCCAGTTTTCTGTGGTAACACTCCAGTCGAACTGGCCCATTCGTCTTTCTGCGTAGCTTTTCTATACTTTTGTTGGTTGCTAGTGAGAAAGAGCGATCTTAATCACACTAAATATAGTCAATTGAATTTTACTCGATTACTTTTAGTAGGTATAACAAATGTGAACTGTCTACAGCGACAACCGAAATCTACAAGAGAACACTGCACGGTCCGCACGTACACGCAACGAGCCGAAAAGCGTGTTTTACTTTAATATAAAGCCGTCAAGTAACGAGGCTCTTCATGTGTCCAGCATGAGTGAGACAGCCTGCAGCACCACCGTTGATGATGACCTGGACATGGAACCCCAGGTCTCCCATAACACTTCCACTCATCACTCCTATGGACCTGACAATGAACACTTTCCTGCTAACATCGACTTGAGGCATGCATCAGTTTAACATATTATTATGTATTGAGTAAATAGGCAGGTATTTAGCTCGTGACATAATGTGAAGACTTGTGTTGTAGATACAGTGGACAATACTTGACACCAGAGCAACTGCCAGAGTTTTGTGACCAACTCCATAATCTGGTGGAAGTTATAAGAAATATACAGACGTATGCTAAAGTCACAGGAGAGTACCCGAGGTAGGTGTCTTTTACCTTGTCGGAGTCATTTGTTCAGCAGTTGCCATCTTCTGGCTGATGATTCCTTTATATATGTAGGTATTAGGTACTTATAGTCGGTATAGGTACTTACCTACTGAATTTTCATGAGGAACATAGAAAACTTGGATTTAAAATAAAAAATAGTAACGTATTTTCAGTGAACTAGAACGTCGGTTAGAACAAGAAGCGCGCGAAGTGGCCGCGATAGCCGCAGAAGCGCGCAATGCACGTGACGTCGTGACGCGCGTACGTGCGCAACGACGCGCTGTGCGTGCGCATAAAAAACATCTCGTATCGCAACTGGCTACTTTGAGGGAAACTGGTTAGTTTTTCAAAACTTAAAGTTGAAATCTTATGAGTAGGTATCTATCTGCACATCTGATCATAATATAGTTACACTACATGGCCTTTAAGAAGAGTGGTCATCGTTTAGGTACTTAATTACTTCTTTCAATCAACTAGCCCGTATTTTCTCAGAAGTTCGGGAGTTAGAGAGCACGGTGCGTTTATCAGATAGAAAGCTCTTCAAGACCTGGGAAGCATTGAAAGACGCCACCGACCCTGCAGCATTCGAGCCTTTACTTGATGAAATCAAGGTTTGCCTTTTAAATATAGCATAGACACACAAATCGTTCCCTCAAAAAGTTCCTACTTCGAGAGATCTCCGGCCACCGCAAGGGCGGGTCTGCGGACCAGAACCAAACTCGAGGGTTCGGCACATAGCGTTGCTCGCGCCTCAAAGAGCCAATAAACCTCCACAGACGGGTACCCTATAGGGCTGATGTTCAGCCGAGTTTGCGGGGCAAGCGCAATGAGGCACCGCGACTACGGCCTAAAGCAGGAGAAGGAATGGAGGGTTTTTAGTCAGTTAACAGTTTGATACTCTCTCTCGACTCGGTAGAAGTTATTTGATGATTTTCCTCTGACGCAGAGACCATTCCAGATTCAGTAATACTACTGCGAATTTTCAAAGGTCGATAAAGTAGGCACGAAAATTCTCCACGGTTATTCAAAGAAAATTGCGTCGAGTCACAGAATTACCTATCTAATAGATACCTTTATTTCGGTGACTAGAACAAGCAAGCTGCTCTGGAGTGCCTGCTTCGCCTGGTGGACAGCAAGCAGGCCACACTGTCTCGTACTGCCCCGCCCCCCACACCGCTCCCACCTCCCGAGTCAACCCTCGACACTGATGGTTTGTCGCTTTATTACTTAGTCGGGTCATAAGTTCTGTCAAAACCTTATATTTTTAATTTTCGATTACTGGCCAGAAATTCTTCGACTTATTTTAAAAATAGAACTTTCGCGCTTGTAGAAAATAAAAAAGAAATTATTTTTTATTCATTTTTAAATATGGAGTGGTCGAATAAAGAAGACAGAATCGCGGTTATCGCGTTGCACCGCTGTGGTTACGCGCCAAAAGACATTTTCAATATTCTTCAAAATTTGAAAATAACGTTACGGTTTGTTTATCGTACTATCAAACGATACACCGAAGAGTCAAGCTTCGAAGATCGTAAGAGAAGCGGCCGACCTCGCACAGTTCGGACACATAAGGTCATCAAAGCAGTGAAGGCGCGAATCGAACGAAATCCCGTACGTAAACAAAAAATCCTAGCTCTGCAGATGGGGCTAAGCAGAACCACTGTTAAAAGAGTACTAAATGAAGACCTGGGACTACGAGCTTATCGTAAAAAGACAGGACATTTTTTGAACGAGCGTTTAAAAAAAAATAGGCTAGACAGATCCCGCGCTTTGCTACGACGGTACGCGGGAAAAAAATACCGCGAAATTCTTTTTTCGGATGAAAAAATTTTTACTATTGAAGAAAGTTTTAACAAACAAAATGATAAGGTGTATGCCCACAGCAGTGAAGAAGCAAGCGCGCGTATTGCGAGGGTCCAGCGTGGGCATTACCCTTCCTCATTCATGGTTTGGCTTGGAGTCTCATATTCAGGCGTAACTGAGGTGTTTTTCTGTGAAAAAGGTGTGAGAACTAGTGCCGAAGTTTATCAAAATACTGTCCTAACAAACATAGTGGAACCTCTTTCTCAGACAATGTTCAGGAACAGGCATTGGATATTCCAACAGGACTCTGCACCGGCTCATAAGGCACGAAGTACGCAAGACTGGTTGATCGCTCGTGGAATTGACTTCATCCGGCATGAAGACTGGCCCTCTTCTAGTCCAGATTTAAACCCACTGGACTACAAGATATGGCAATATTTGGAGGAAAAAGTCTGTGCTAAACCTCACCCGAATTTGGAGTCTCTCCGAGCATCTCTGGTTAAAGCAGCGGCAGACATAGATATGAATGTGGTGCGTGCAGCGATCGATGACTGGCCGCGTAGATTAAGGGCATGTGTTCAAAATGGGGGAGGGCATTTCGAATAATGTAAATAAAATTATATTGTACATTTAATGACCTTTCATTTCATATATAATTTTTAAATAATTGTCAAAAGGCGTATAAGTTATTACATCAAAAGTTTGTGACAGAACTTATGACCCGACTAAGTATATATAGACACTAGGATTGAGTGTATTTTTTGGGAATGGCAAGAATTGGATGATTCAAATCGCTGGTATTCTGCAAGACCTTGGTATCACTCCGGTCGAGCTAGCTCATGCCTGTCAAAGCATGATTCTCTCACACTAGTGCTAATACATCCAATGTGGTATAACTGAACATCTGAATATGTTCAAAAATCGTACTTATTATCTGCTACTTAGGGTTGGGCAGCAGTGGTTCGCTTGGTTTAATAAATAATTGAGGTCCTCTTCCTCATTTTTCCTTTTTATGTGATAGGTTGGCCGTTTGCAAGCCAGCAGCCGAATTACCTGATGGTAAGCAATCATAGCGCTGCCCATAGACACCCCTAATAACGGAGAAGTTACGAGTGCGTTGCTGACCTTTTGGGTTTAGGGATTTGGATACTTTGGGATTGGGGAGGGTTTGGGCAGGGGAAGGAAGAGTGAGCCGAAACACAACGCTGTGGGTGTTTTATGGTGGTTCTCTGTGAGGCCGTGATGTCACTCCGGTCGATTCGTGCCAAAGAATGGCCCTCCCACATTCTCCTGAAACTTTCTCAAAAATGGTATTCCGGTTAATAGTGATAAATAATTTTTACTGTTTGGCGTTTTTTGCCTACGAAAGAGTATAGAGTAGAGACTTGGTTGTAGAGTCGGGCGCGACTGGTGGTTCGTGTGGTGCTGCCGGCCGCAACAGACACGATGGCCGGCGCTCGGCGGGCAAGCGGCGGCGTCGCTCGCCGCGCTCCGTGCCGCTCTCCGGGGAGCCCAGCCGACACGCGCCCCCGCCGCAGGTCCGCTTATTACGACATCTTTGACCACTCATCTCTACGACTGTTGTTAGTGGGGCCGAGAAACTTGAAGCATATATCAAACCAGCAACCTTTTATAAAAGAAACAACCAGGCATCGGATGTTCTCGCAAAGATGCGGAGTGCGTGAGGGAGCTATCCTCCTCCTCACGCCCCAAAAGGTAGCTCGCCGCTCGACCAGAACTAGACCTGAGCGTACGGCGCGTAACGTTCTGCGCGCGCCTCAAAGAGCCAATAGACCACCACAGACGGGGCCCTACAGTGCTGATATTCAGTCAGGGTTGCGGGGTGAGCGCATTGAGGCACTATGGCTTCGGCCTTATGCAACAGAAGAAACGGGGGTGCTTTTAGTCAGTAAGAGTCTGGCACACTCTCTCGCCTTACCCTGGGCAGGATAAGTCGGTAGATATACTAATACCTAAATTAATATATTAAAAAAAAACTGTCTTGTGTCTTCGGAGAATTGTTCCAGATTTGAGTAAGCAGAATTTTTCAATGGAATGTTGTATCTGGTCTTTAGGTCACCCTGTACATCCAAGGGACAGAGAGCACGTCCCGGTACAGAGTAGGCAGTGCCGGGGCAGTCGCCCTCACACCGCTGGAACTACCTTCTGGAGGAAGCGTCAGGGATATTCTCTTCTTTACCACTAACTAACTATATATCATTAATAAAACACGCATTGAAATATAGTTTGTTTCCTTTCTTATTTCATTCTTTACACCTGAAACCTTTCTCAAAACCCACTCAGATATTGTATGGAATCGTTTAAGTAGTATTAGGTCTTTAGAGGGGAGTGACAAATGTGTAAGCATAAACTTAAAAATTAAGGCTCTAATAAACCTTTTTTAATGAATCTAATTACAACGGTACGAAGTGTATTAATTGCAGTGCAATATTGATTTTCTCCAGTAAAAATTAACAATGCGTGAAATAACAATTTATGTTTCCGATAAATATTTTACGACGCGTTGCCTGACATGTTTTTAATTAAATTGTTTATGTAATGAGTTGAGTCGTGGCGGCCGGAGGTTAAGGCGCCCGCTTCTCATGTATTAAGATGCGGGTTAAAAACCCAGCAAGTACCAATGCACCTTTCCGGGTTACCTACCTTCCTTTTTTAGATTACCCCGACACCACTGACACAGTGAAATATTGTCGAAACGCTTATCCGTCTGGGCAAGCGTGGTGACTAATGCTGAAACCTTCTCCGTCTGAGAAGAGGCATTATGCTTAATAATGTACACTTAATAGGCCCATGATAATGAATCGATCGCTTATCGCGTTCATTAGGTAAATAAGTATTAACACATTGACGATATGCTTGTTTGTAATGATGTACAGGAAGAGTCTGGGCACGCGTCGGTATTTGTAAATATTCACTTTATTGACTTTTAAGCGATGAATAGCTGGGCTGAAAAAACAACGTTGTTTGTCCTCTACACGCGTGTTTTGCGCTCAGAATACAGTTGTTCTGTATTCTGAGGTTGTGCGTGAGAATTGTTATTTCTTTGTTGATTGACGCCAGACTTTTGACCGATTTGAACTCATCCTGTCGGTACATCACCGCGCTTGTAGTCCATGTTGGAAGAAAACCAGTCAGACTGGTGCATAGAGTAAAAAACCCTCTATGGACTGGTGTTACAAAAATAAAATCCTTGAAGTATATCTGAATTACAAACCACGTTTATTTCCAAGGGTTTATTTTACAAAGATCACATTACGTTTCGGACATCGTTCCGGTTTGTTACGCTCGCACCATGTCCTCGGTGTTACACTACTATAACCTAGGGCTTCTTCTCCTCGGCGGGGGCGGCTGTCTCCGCGGCTGCAGGCGCTGCCGGCGCTGCCGCTGCTGCTGCTGCTGCTGCAGGCGCAGCTGGGGCAGCTGGCGCGTCAGAACTAGGTGCTTCTGATTTTACCTGGAGATAAAAGATCAGTTAGACCGATATAAAAGACCGATTAGTGCTAATTTCCTAGTCAATGATGTCTATGGAAGCATAAAATTGTCAGGGTTCTCTGTGAAGCACGTTACAAAATAGTTTAGGTATAACTAATTTAATGTTGTTTGATAAACCTATTCATATTTTGTGTTATGTCAAAAAATAGTCTTAACACGTACTCATTGGAGCGTTCTCTAATGCGATACTGGTCAAAATGCGCGAATGGAGCGGTCTCCAGGAATAAACAATAGGTAAAGATGATCGTGCATATGCCCCGTTTCTTGCTTTCTTTCTTTCATAGGTGAATGCTTTTAATAACAAGAATCGCGCAAATTACGAGGGAGTGTCCTCAAAAAGTCGACAACGCACTCGTAACTGCTCTGTTGTTGCGGGTGTCCATGGGCGGTGCTGATTGCTTACCATTAGGTATTTCGTCTGCTCGATTGCCGACCTTTCACAAAGAAAAAAAAAAATAGATAAGTTAATAATAATATTAGAAGTGAAACTAACTTCAGCTGCGGCGGTTGCTTCAGATGCGGCTGCGGCGGGCGCGGGGGAGGGGGATGGAGCAGGCGTTGCCTCCTCTTTCTTCTCCTCCTCCGGCGCGGGCGCACCGTGGCTCATCTGAAATTACAGTTCACGTTATAGACTTGGTCTTAACAAAAATTGGTAGGGGTAGCAATTCACAGACAACTGTCGGCTTTCACAATACCTATATAGGTACTGATAAAATTAGCAAGTATCACTATCTCATGTATGACGAAAGCTTTCAGCGGGACCGACAATTTATATCGGTAAGATATTCATTCCTTCCCATCCCCAATCCCTAAATCTCCAAGACCGTAATCCCCAAAAGGCTGGCGAGGCACTCGTTACTCCTCAAGTGTTGCGGTTGTCCATGGGCGGCGCCGGATGCTTATAATCAAGTAATCAGTCTGCTCATTCGCCGCTTTATCATAAATATCAGAATTTAGATGTGTAGGTAAAGGTCACCAAGAATTCGGTATTATAATCAAATAATACACAGCATCAGCTATAGGTACTAATGAATAATCAAATCGCTGTTGTTACAAGTTAAATTGGGATTAGTTGCGGTTGGAATTTGTAAGTAGGTATACGGTAAATAGTTAATAGTTTGATAAGTTCGTGTATTAGCGTAGGTACACTTTCTTATACTATACACATTATGCGTTACACGACATCCAAACTAACTATTATACATGCGAAAGTAACTCTGTCTGTCTGCTTTTTCTTTACGCCTAAACTACTGAACCGATTTGTGTGAAATTTGGTACAGTTATAAGTAGTTTGAAACTCGAGAAAGGACATAGGATAGTTTTTATCCTGAAAACCACACGAGAGCGGGACTATGTGGGTATAACCAAAAATGTACAGGAGGTCACTACATGTATTCCACGCGAACGAAGTCGCGGGCAAAAGTTAGTTATTAATAAGACCTGCATTATGTATGTTATGCAGGTCTCTGTATGCATGTATGCCATAAAGATTAACGACACGTCAGTACTCCTTACTATAAAGTCTAAATTTGAAGTATGAGACCCATCTTTAATGATTGTACCTAATTAACGGTAATGCAGGTTTATTAGTCAACTATTATTTGATTAATTTTAAAGCTCCTACTCTCTATATTTTTCTCCCGAAATAGGTAAAAGTAGATACTTATGATTATTTGATATGGGTACTATTACGTTTTTAGATAACACGGGGTTCAACAGATTTTTGTTAGCTTATTACGGGTAGGAATTGACCTTGCTCATTCTTCTCCATTGGAATCTACACTTTGGAACTTGCAAATAGCTTGACTAAGAGGACTAACCGACATACTGACACATTTTATCTTTAAACTTTGTTTGATGTTCAAAAGGGTCTGTAAAAGTTTAAGTAAAATTAATGATTTTGACTTTGAAAAATCCTAACCTATAACAATATAGATACCTAGGTATTATTTATAGCCATTCATTTAGGTGCCTATGGTATGGTATGGTGGTATTTTACTTTATTTCTTGTTTCGCGTGTTTATGTATATAAGTAGATAGGTATGTAAGTTGGTATCACTAAGCAAATTATAGATCATTATTTACATTTGATTCTAAAGCGTCTAGGTAAACTATCCTCGCGGGCCATTCTTCGACAGTCTTCGTTTCATTTGTAGGTTTACTCCGGCCTTCCTACACAAGAAGACCACCAAACGGTTAATGCTGGATTTCAAGCACGACTGCAGAACTTCGGGTGGGTACATAAGTAAATTTTTTATAAAACATTTATGTCCGTTTTTCTTTAAATGTACCAAGAATACTTTTTCGAGAGAGTAAAATCTACCAACAATGTCAACTGCTCGGGCTTTTTTTTGTTTTGTCATGGGAAAATCATCCTAAGACTTCTCCCGACCAGGGCAAGGCGAGAGAGAGAGAATGTCAGACTTACTGACTAAAAACCCCCCCGTTCTTTCTCCTGCTCGGGGCCGAGGCCGCAGTGACTCATTGCGCTTAACCCGCGACCCCAGCTGTACCGGTCGTGCTGCGGTGATGGGTAAGTGTTACTTTTAACATACGAAAAACCGCCCCGTTACTTTTTAGCTCCGAGCTGTGTCTTGTGTTTGCACCTGCAAGCCCGGTCGAGAATTAGGTATAGTTAGGTAGGCTAAATCCAGGAAGAGCCGGCTTTAATGTTTCGGTTTTTGTTAATTGAAATATGCTGTCGAAATGAGAACCTTTTCAGAAGTCGGTTAAAAAGGAGATGGACATTGAAAAATTTACCCTTTTTACTTTTATAAACTTTAGGTGTTAATAAAATAGTTTATTCTGTAGCCAGTAGACGTTTCAAGACGGCAAAGTAACCGTAATTTTGCGACACAATTAGTTAAACCAGGACACACAAAAAAATATTCGGGTTTCTTCAAATCACACATATGTAAATATAGCACGATAAGAAATTGCCTACCTGTAAGGCCACGAAGGCGAATAAAGCGACAGCCACTAGAACCTTCATATTAATCACAAACGATCAACTTAATGATAATAAAATTTGAAAAGTGTACGGCTTTAATTTATAACCAAGGACGCGTAACAGCCTGGGAGTTTGTAACCAAAATAACTATTATGATTCGTTCAATAATGAGCTCTGTTTATAAAACAAAGCTTGGCGGAACAATTAAAATCGTTATCGTTTTATGTGCTTGTTTCTAATTTGCCGCGCGTTCTTGTTCAATATTGCCATAGTGTGACGTAAATCGCTAGGGTTTCCATGATTTCGCCGTTTGTAGATATTTATATGGGACTTCTTTGTGACACCTAAAGCACAGGCCGCCTATAATGTGGTTGGACTATTGAGAATAAGGACACCTCCCCCCTTCGACACCCAGGATAGAATTAGGGAGTATTCTTGGCACCGAAGCATAAGGAGGCCCAAACATGAACAAACCGGGACTGGAGCAGGGAAAAGAAGACTTTTTTTATGTAGATATGTGTCTACGTAGATATAAGTATTTGAAGTACCTAATGATTTCAGTAGATGTTATTGTAGTACAACTTCTTCCGTCCTGGATGAGTAGAGAAGGCGTGTCAGACTATTTCTGAATTAAAGCTACCCCGTTCCTTCATTCATTGAAAGTAAGTATTAGCATTGCACCCGTATGAAACCAGGGCAGGTCGCTAGTTTACAATATCTAAGTATATTGAATTTGGAAACAATTAAGGTTTCCAAGGTATAAAATAGTCTCGAATTTTTTGCTCAATTTGACTCAAAATATAAAATTTATAAAACATTGTTTATACCTATCTACTAACATGTCGGCTTTTTATTAAACTATAGTTATGTTAGTAGTTATTATGAAACTTTATTTGGCTAATTAAATGTAAGTAAGTAGTTAAGAATCTATTCCGATCCCAAACGGATAAGAAACCAATGGTCTCTTTAGTGGGCACTTCCATAACATGGTGAGTTTATAATAAAGGTACTGGTAGTTAACTATAACAATGGCATGAGAAGGATATACTAATGGATTAATAACATGTGTGACACATAAAACAAGAATGTACTGACTTGTCCCCAAATATAAACATGAGGAGTCATCCTACAAATAAATGAAACTTAAGTCTTTCCATGCGCTGCGCAGAGATTAGATGTACAAGAATCTTATGGTTGCACGTGTTTTAATTTTTCCTTTATCAATTTTATGGCTACCTTACTATTAATTCTTTGATTAATTCTTTTAATATACCGTTTCAATCCCAACAGACATGCACGGAGATCGTCTTTTGATTTTATCCAGAAAAAGTTTACAATTTATTAAGGCTCTGTTATTTTACAGAAATGCAAATTTGATTTATGCACGTGATGGGGTAACAAAAACATATCCATATTTTTATAGGAGATGAGTCAAACGACTCTTCATCTTACTGTAAGCAATTGACCCTGCCTACATTCACCTCTAATGCAACTTACTGTCTGACTGAAAATAATAAGTGCATGAGGACTTCAGAGGGGGCATTGGTTCTCTGTTGGCTCTCATTGTTTTACGCCGATTTTCTGCATCCGGTCGAGCTCGCCTATTTGTGCCGAAGCATGGGCCATCAATGTTATAGCCTTTTTTTAAGTTGAGGGTGTCCTAAAACTGCTAGGTGCTATATCACTACTGCATTGTGACGATTAGGTACCAACGGCGTCGACATAATCCTTTCGAATTCGTTCTATGAACGCTGAGCTCTTCAGTTTTAGCTTTAGCTTCAGGTTTTGATTTCCACACGGAACAAATAATAATAAGTATGTGTGATCCACAAATCGATGTTCGAATTCTGGGGTCGGTGTCGTGTATTTACTTTTTATGGAACACGAGGCCTTCGTAAGGTTCGCCTAATGGTAAGTGATCAGCGCGCCTATGAACATCTTATTAAGAAAAACTACGCTTGTTTCTTGTAGGTTTGAAGGTTGTATCAGTTCAAAGTTTTGCGAAAATCACACAGGAGTTGCTTTTCAAACATGTATATCATAGGGATAGTGTTAGAAGAGTTCGACGGTGAGGAGAAATACTGAGACGTGATGATACCTACTTGTGCAAACAAAATAAAAAAAATAAATTTGATTTTGTTGGGTGAGTTAAAGGTAGCTTTTTTTAGTGGGGTAAGTCTTCTAATAACTTCTCACACCAAGGGTGAGGCGAGAGGGAGTGTTAGACTCTTACTGATTAAAAACCACCCCTTTCCTTCCCTCGCTTCATGCCGAGGCCGCTGTACTTTTTGCGCTTGCACCGCAATCCTGGCCTATTTATTGGCCGTTTATTCCGGTCATCCGCAGACCAGTGCTTACAGTGGCCGAAGATCAACGCTCGATCCCTGACGCCTGGGGTGTTGCTTATTGCGCCGGCTGGGGAGTGAGGAGAATAGTTCCCTTACGCCGTACGCGCTCCACCTCCTTCTTCGATGGTTTTCTAGTTCTTCTTTCTCCATACCATGGCCTCGACTAAGGCCGGACGTAAGCCGAAGTCGCCGATGCCGATCACTCCTTCTCAGTTCAAGCAGGGCACCCGTATTCTCCACCGTATCATCCGTATGGTCCTTACAATGAGGATATTCAGGCCTATCCTCCCTCCGGATCCGAAATAGGTTCGGACCGAAGCTTCTGTGCCCGATAAGCAACTACGTCAGGCGGAAGGTGATGACGCCATGGCGTCATGACGCCACTCCTAAAAGAGGGGTTTACTGCTGCTAAAACCGCGTGCTCGGAAATATAGATAGCTGGCATCAGCATATTCGAGCCCATTCTTGATGAAATTATTTCTCAACTTCTATATGTTTAAGATAAGATAAGATATATTTATTTAGTAAAACATGAGTAATTACAATAAAGGTGTTTTTGGTATATACAGAGTCTACATGTTTTGCCATTTATGGCGTACTAAATTAGTCACTTTAGGCAGACATTACCAAAATCTACATACAATAAAATGATTAAGATTTGGATAGAAAAAAAAAAAATATCAATGTCAAAGTAAAATAAAAATAAAAAAAAAATGAAATGTACCCAAATAATTAACAAATAAAATCATAAGTCAAAGAATGAATTACATGTCAAACAGTCTAAATGTCAACTGGTTACAAATTCTAAATATCATCTTTTAGGAAATCGTCTACCCTATAATAAACTCTTCTACATAAAAGTTCCTTAATTTTCTTTTTAAATTGGTTAATATTTAATTGTTTATATGCATCTGGTACTTTGTTATAAATTTTAGGAGCCATACAGAATACACTTCTCCACATGAGGGTAGTTTTGGCGTTGTGTAAACAAAGTCTATCATATTTACGTCTATTACGTTGAGATACACTTGACTGAAGAGGGAACAATTGCGGATTCTTCTTGACAAAAAGACAAATTTCTAAAATATATAAAGAAGGTAATGTTAAAATATTATATTTTAAAAACAGCGGTTTGCAACTATCTGTGACTTGTAGACCAAACATAGCACGGATACATCGCTTTTGTATCTTAAAAGCAAGCTCTTTATCTACCGAGTTCCCCCAGAACATAATTCCATATCGTAGTATAGATGCAACCAAACCGTGGTAGGTTAAAATGAGCAATAAGCATCTTACATACCTATATCTAATATGGTCGCAATAAATGGCTCGGAACCTACAGGATAGAATACTTCTTCAATCATCTTTTTTAAGAAGTATTGTTAGTTGCCCAATCCAACCAACAAAAGAGTTGTATAGTTTGCAGTCTAGATTTTTTTGTGGAGATTTTCCGAAACCTCCCTAAAGACCTAAGAAAGATTCAGACCTTAGCCCCATCACCGTTTGCAAGTTATTTATTATTCATGTGTGATGTCCATACATATTGAAACCGCAGTAGGCTAAAAGCAATAAACCAACTGTTTATTGCTTTTAGGTCAAAGCTAAACCTTGATGATCATACATAATGTAAGTAGGCGTTAAACAAATGACTATTTGGTTAAATTTAACAGTATTTATATAATATTATAATTAAATACAACATATTAAAAAGATAAATCCTGAAAGTTATAGTCTTTGCATGTTTCTTAGAATGAACGTGTATCCGAACGTAGAACATTTCGAATGTCAAATACACGTTCCATTACTCAAGTTGTAGTCAGTTCAGTTGTCAAGTAATATCTAAGTATAGTTCGCCAATTTATAAAGATAAAGTATGGAAAATATTTTAGTCGTAGTCCATAGTGACATAACATAAAAGATTAAAATTTATAAATTTATAAAAACGTACATATTAATTTTATAGAATCAAATCCTGTTTAGGGATGAATGTATTATTGTGATATTCAGAACGTGTTCTGAAAAACCTTGAGACGTTGGCATTTTTGGCATTTCGTTGGCTCCCGTTTGGCAGATGGGGAAAATGAATTGATCGAAAAGAAAAATCTTTGCCAGGATTTATCTGAATGATGTCATTTGAGTGATCTACAATCTAAATAACACATTTATCCTGCTTGTATATAAAATAATTTATTTAGAAAAATGGCTTCCCGTGGAGGTATTATGGTGACTGGTACGAATGGAGCCGATTTCGAACACAGAGAGAAAATAGCAGCACAATATCAGATTAGGTACGTAATTTGGCTTATTTACAAGTATTTAAGGCCGTACGGAAGAATGTAATGTAATGCTGAACGGGAGCTTGATCTACAGTTTAAGATTTTTTTGACCCAAGTTCCGTCAAATTATTTTTAGACAAAAGCAGTCGATAGCTAGTGATGTTTCGCGCCAATTATTTGAAAAGGCTCCCACATTTGTGTATTACACAGAAATTATAGTAGAGACACTCTTCTCAGTCAAGAATTCCTGTGAAAACGTTGATAAACAAATACGACACTGTGTTGTCAGCAAAACCAAAACAATGTAGTTTCATCAGTTTTTACGTATTACGACACACCTTTCCTAGAATATAAATGTTTAAAATAAAAATATCTACCGTTATTTTCGCTTAGAAACTATGGTTTATAGAAATGTCACGAGAGAAAGTATGGTATTAGCAAATGTACTGTTCCTAGCGCAGCCATATGGTGGGTTCTGGCAGGTGACATCATACCAAGCCAGTCATCTTCGTGTCTTTTAAAAGAAGCAACAAATAGAATGATGCATAATATTTTAATGAGCATTAAAACATTTGGTGTTTCAACTTCCTTAAGAAATAAGAGAGAAATCAAAAAGTAAAGATTTTATGTGGCTGTGAATTTTATGTCTTAGTTGTCTCATAGTTTTATAAGTTTTAGCACCAATTTAAATTTGAATTATCTGAGAATGAAGTCAGAATTATTATGAGATAGATTCAACTTTTAACTTTATTCAGTAACTAGCCAGCAGTAGTGGTAAAAGTAGACTATGTGTTAATCCAGTAAATCACCTATCAACATACCAAATTTCAATCAAATCGGTCCAGTAGTTTTTAAGTGAAAGAATAATATCCATATAATGTCACAAACTTTCACTTTTATAAAATTAAGTAGGTTAGTAGGATTTAAAATATTCATAGGATTACAATTTGTAAAATAAATGTAATAACAAACAATAAAAGGTTATAATTGACAGTATACTACAAGTTTATTTAAAACATAGCTTGTGGGCCTTGTAGCTTCCTGGAACAGATGACCCGTTTGCCACCACATGCAGGGTGCTTTCACCTTAATGCAATCTTCATCATAGCTACAGGACATCCACTGCTGCACATAAACTTCCCCTATTAACCTACACATAGTTTTTAAATCAGATAGGAGAAGTGAGCAATACTTACTAAAAAAACTACTTATTTTATAATTTCAAACTGTCAATACTACTAATATTATAAATGTACATGTTTGTTAATATTTCATAGAAAAACTACTGAATGGATCTGAAATAAATTTTGCAGTTATATATTATAGTCTGGAATAGCACTTAGGCTTCTTTTTACATTGATATCGCAGATTACTTTAGTTAATAATATTATTAAAATGGACTTAAGAAATATAACAGTTCAAGATTGAATAATCAAAACTATTTATTTGTTAATACCCTCACAAGTATTATAATTTCAATGACCCAATCCATGTCAATATTAATATATTATTACTCTCCCCACTAGTGGTATAATCCTATAGTTACTAGTTAAATTCAAAACTTTTATGTATGATAAGTTTTGATGAAACAATACTTTTCTATGAATTTTGTATAAACATTAGGTTGTTTCAAACATATGACGACATAATGTTTTGACATCAAATATAATACTTATTTTGGAAAAAATGGTAAGAAAAAATCTAAAATTAAAATAGTAAAATCTATGAATGAAAGTAAGAGTATGATGTTTTAATAATTCATTGTATTGAATAGGTAGTCAAAATAATTAATTGTTGGCCTAGGAAACTACTCAACATCATCAACACTTAGGTTAATTCAAAATGTTCCACTTTCCAGTGCTTTAAACAAGTCCCGTCTGAAGTACTGCGTGTTCTTCCACCACATTATGTTCCTGGTGATGCTGGCGAAGCTCTCCGCAGACATCCTCGACAAACTCGACATATTTATTTTAGAAATAGAAGAATTGCAGATACCACAGGTAAACTTGATAAGATGATTTTTTTTATTTATTTAAAAACTTGCGCCTACACAAACAGACAAACATACAATTTGGCATACACAGCACATACTGACCCGGAACAACGATGTGTGGATCACACAAAGAGTTGTTCCGTGCGGGAATCGACCCGCGACACGTATTGCGGCAGCCATTTGCCCATCCACCGCGTCAACCGGGCAGTCAAAGATTTAAACTCTTGTACACATTGTAGTATTTGCCACCAATTGTATTTAGATTTAACGTTACAATTACATTCCATTAAATGCTGAATCATGTTTTTAAATATTAGACCTACACATTCACTAACTTTGGAGACGTAATTCAACATAAAATTACTATTGCTATTTACAATTTACAACATGGTTTTTAATTAATTTCAGCCCCTGTGGTGGGAGTACATCTGGTGCCTCTCCCTCCTCCTGTCTTTCCTCGGTCTATCTGCAATCAAACGCAATAACATAAAATACCTGCGAAGGTATATGTATGGTATTACCGCACTGGGCTTTGGTCCGTTACTGTACTGTATGCTGTACTACTGCGGAGATGTTTGGAGATACCTGACCATGGATGAGGATGAGGATGTCAGCAGTGAAGTTGACATTGAGCTGTGGCAGGTAGGTGTTTGCTTTATGTGGTAAATTAAGAAAACATTTCGAAATGTATTCTAGCTGTCGTAAGACATAATATATGTAATATAAAGTCGCAAGCGCAACAGTTTCTTTATCTATGGGTAGCTTGCGGATCGTGCCACGTCGCGCTGCCAGTTGGCTGACTTGGAACTAGTAACGCTTTTAACAAATTATTCGTTATTTTGAACGAAGCCTAAGTAATTAATTAGCTGAGTTTAATTGCGCCCCCACTTTGATCTCTGTTGGACTGTAAGACTATCCAATATAAGATCTTGAAAAACCTCATTCTGTATAACTTTTCTCAATGATTGCTGCTTAAATGGTAGGTGCTATATTTTTGCTACCCAATGTAGTCTCGACCAGAAAACACCAAATAGAATTTATGTATCAAATCCTATACATAATTATACTTGATGTTGGTTTGGTTAAAGATGACAGACATATTTTAGTCATTAGGTATTGTTCAGTATATGTATGTTTCTCATTTCCAGGGTTACCCATATGGCCTTCTGTGGTACGCGTTCGTGCTCCTCGCCTCACAAATACATTTCTTCCAACTTTACTTCTCATACAATCTGCTAAAAGCATGGCGTGCAAGAGGCGCGCTAAGGAAATCTGATTAATACACTAGTACTTACGGTTCATTTTCCCTTGATCACACACCACACTGCCAGAGTGAATGCGATAGTCAATGGATGGACATTTACGAGGTAAGAACAAAGATTTATGTGAATAAAAAAGTTACATGACAACTGGCAAATTATCATTTAGTTATAGCGAAAACAAACATTTGTAACTTTTAGGGTATTTGACACGGAGGTTGTGTAAACCCACTATTTATAATGTAAACTGTTGTAAACAAATTGTACCGACGTTGCAAGCACTCAAAATGTACCTTTTAGACAATATTTTTATAATTTTGCACACAATTATGTACTCTAAGTGCGGTAAAATGCCCCAATTTTTGTATAATTTATATTACATAAAATTAGTTGTCATTATTCGTTGTTACAGAAAATTACTAAATAACTTTCCAGCCTCGTTAGTTCATAAAATAGTAAAATTTAACTCAATGTATAAAGTAGATAAGCAGAAAATGTAAGTTAACATCTATTTTAGATACGTCATAGTATTTTAATAGCAAATATAGTTTCCAATGACAAATGACATTTAAAATAATGTACGACTGGGTTGCCTGTTATTTTGTGCAATATGCTTAAGTGCAATAAGATTTTAACGCCATCTAGTTGAGGTGCGAGTAAATACTCTTTAAACAAAATAAATATCGGCTTACCCAGTCAGCATAATTATGTTTTTCAATTCATATTTAACTTAGCACTAAATGGGTACTTAACAATGTATAGTACTGTAATTAATTGTTATTACATTTCATAAAAGTTATTGTTTTAACACTCGCCAGTTGGCGCCACTGGTGCTTAAAGTAGTTGGGTTGCGTATTCTTTGACATAATTGGGAAGGTTTTAAAATCACGACTTTTGTTTAATAAATGGCGTGTGAAAAGCAATTTATGATGGTGTGGAAAATTTGACTGAATAGTTGAATTTTTATGTTATAAAATATATTATTTATAATTATAGTTTAAAAGTAAAAAAGTTTGGATCTTTATTTATTTATCAGATTTGAAGCAGCAATTATTGTAATGGAATAATGTGCCACGGTAAAATTGTTTGTTAAATTGTTCAAATTAGTGGTTACTTTATTTGGTCTTAGCTTTTGCGTTTAAAATAGCTCCTAGAAAAACACATAATAGCAAGATGGCGAACTTTTCATATTAATGTTATCTTGTGTAAGTCAAATTTTAAAACGTTTTAAACGCAAATCTATGACATTGTGGCCTATATAAAACACGTTGTATAAGTGTAAGGATGTAAATAAAACGATATTATTACGTTTCAGTTCAATTTATAATAGACATAAGTGTTTGTTTGTTTCAAAGTTTTCCCATGGTATATTTGTTTTTTTAATAATAAAATATTTTGTCAAATTATTGTGTATTCTGTGAAAATGAGTACCTATCTAACCATGGAGTTTTTTGCTCATTTTTCTCCATTGGTCTACACAGTTTGTTCGTCAGTGATAGGTGCTCGTTCTAAATTGTAGATTCGAAATTCGAGAAGAACGAGAAAGAAACTCAATCGTTACTCTTTTTAAAAAATAATATTATTTTTACTGACTGATATCCATCCATCTTGGTCCTTTTCCTGGTTCAGGCGAGGGCCGCGGTACATCATTATTTGGCTTCAAATACAACCCCAGCTGTACATCAACACCATTTGGCCCCATCTTTTTTTTTGCAGAAAAATCATCTAATTACTTCTCCCGCCCAGGGTAAGGCGAGAGAGAGTGTCAGAATCTTACTGACTAAAACAACCCCGCGTTCCCTCTCCTGTTCTGGGCCAAGGCCGCGGTGTCTCATTGCGCTTACCGCGCAACCTTGGCTGAATACAGCCCTATAGGGTCCCGTCTGTGGTGGTGTATTGGTTCGCGCCGTACGCTTGGGTCTGGTTCTGGTTGGGCGGCGAGCTACCCTTACTCGCCGTCCACAGACTCGCGACTGTTGGTTCTTTGACGTACGCTTGGCTCCAGTTACTTTTGTTGATAGTTCTACGCTTATAATTGAGCGAGTTTCTGTGGACCTGCTTAGCAGAATAATGGAAACGTGCGATTAGTTCTACCTATGTAGAACAACAACAACGGATATATCTAAGAAAAAACCAATATTATTTCATGTGACTACCAAAGGGCATAAGATAAGGTGTTATAAATTTATATTATACAGGGATTACAAGATTAAATGAGGATTTGCTTCATATTTACTATTCGTATTAATAATCTATTTATCCAAGCCTAATATTTGTGTAGCTAAGCAATGTTAAAATGGTGTTTAACCTTTTTAATTTAATTATATTAGGGGTAGTTTGGTGAACGACAAGTCAAATTACCTGATGGTAAGGGAGGTGGGGAGGGAAGCAGGATAACTCCAAGCCAGTATTCATTTTAATAGAGTTTTCATCGGCAACTTCCCTTCTAGAAGGTTTAGGCAGTGAGAGGAATGTCGTAATTGCATTCATTCACATTACCTACTTTCTTTAGTACCTTTTCTTTATTTGTATCTAAGTTGTACAATAAATTCTAAAACAGGAATTTATTGGTTGTCTATAGATACGGTCAAAGTTAAAGTCAAAATAATTTATTCTAAGTAACTAGAAATAGGTACTTTAATGACTGCACAGTTGGCTGGGTAACTGGCTGTTGCGCAACGTGTCGCGGGTTCGATTCCCGCACGGAACAAGTCTGTTTGATCCACAGATTGTTGTTCCGAGTCTGGCTATAATGTGTATGTGAAATTATATGTTTGTAAACGCACCCACGACAGGAGAAAATCCCGTTGTCGTCAAAGTTTTAAAAAAAAAAGATTAATATATCAGTCTGTTCTTGGAGCTAGGTGCTCGTTCCAGAGAGAGTGGATTCGAAATTTGAATAGAGAGGAACGAGCAAGAAGTTCTCAGTACCTGCATATGTTTATATAAAAAAAGCTTCTATGTTTTAACAAATAAAATAAGGAATCTTTGATGCCACTACCTATTTAGGCACCTAAGTATTTCTTTCGTTCTTAGAATTTGAGTAACTTCTAACTGTATTTGAGTTTTGTCCAGTGGAGCCGAACCAACATGCTGGATTATTAGGCACATAGGTACCTAACCATATCACTTAGGCAAAAAAGCTTTTTTAAACGTTATTCTTTAAAAATCGACACTACAAGATTTAATTAGCTGTCACATCTATAAATCATAAGATTGAGTTATCAGCAATATGGTGATGGACCATCATCAGACCATATTTTAGTATATGAAACCTGAAACGAACTAGATTTAGCTGGATACGATTACTTACAAAACTTTGTACAAAATAAAAATGAAGATACAAAGCTGTGGGAAGTACAGGCAGCATTTAGTTTACCTAAAGATACCTAAAGTTAAATACCTGTGTTAACAGAAAAGTCTTTCATTAATCCCTTTAATCATCGTCTAGTAAGATTTGAGCGTCCTAATCGTGGAATTTTGGAAAATTATCGTCACGTTCCAACGCGCTTCGCCAGTAGGTACCTAAGCTTGTTATTCGACGGTAAATGACCGTAAGGATTACTTATCAATCATTAATGGCTTAATTTGAAGGAATTTGAAGATGTTTTGAATTGTTACAACCGATTATCTGCGTGATTACTTGGCAATCGATCAACTTAGATTGTTGATAGCAGTGTTAAGTATTACCTACGTAGGTACGTAAGCATAGTATCACTTGTTTTTGGCATGCAAGCACACGATCAATGGGTGTGGATTGTTTATTTTAATCATAAAGTACATAGAATTACGTATTTTTTGAAGATTAGTGATGTATTAGCACTAACTGGGTGGGCGTGTAATACCTAATGTTTTGATTAGGTGTTGTAAATCTGTCTCGATTTCTGTATCCGAGTCGGACAAATTTCGAAAAGGATTTCGAATAATGAAAAATATTTGGTTCTATTAGTCTTACTAATTATTAATAGGGACAATGGTGTTAATCATGCCTTCCGAACGGTTGATGGCCGGGCAACTGGCTCCTGCGCAGTGTCGCTTTGATTTCCGAACTGGGATAACCGTTTGTGTAGGTTAATCCTTAAACTGTTTTTGCATGAAACAAAGAAATGACATTGTACGAATATATTTTTTATAGAATAGGACAGTAAACGGGCTTATGGACCACTTTATAGTACCTACCTAAGCAATCGATGTCGTCCATAGTCATCTGCAACACTAGAAAAGTAATAAGTGCATTGCCATCCTTTTGGAGATTATTTATTACAAAATTGAGGAATGAAAACTTGGGAATGGGTCGGGAAGGATTGGGCTTCTAGTAACCTTACATTGGTTGGATTTATTGTATAAAATCCTAAATTAACAATAATAATAAAGACAGCTAGTCTCCAATGCATTTTAAATCTCCAACCAACGCACATTTTCTTACAAAATGAAACAACAGTATTGCTAGCGGTCTCAATAGTGAATAGTTTATTAAATCGTGTGGGCGTGTCGTCATTCATCATCAGCTATGTGGACCTCGTCATCAGATCCTTCATCGGCAGTCGGTGGGCTGCCAGCGTCTGCTGAGTCTGGGGTCGTACGCCTCCACTTCGCACGACGGTTTTGAAACCATGTCTTTACCTGGAGAAGAAGATGGGGATTTAGCCATTGGTTTGTGCTAAGTTATTATTATGTGAGGACAAAATGTATACGGGGATTCCAATTGCATTATTATCTGTGGTGTATAACTAATTTGTTGATTGTTAGATGATTGCTATAGCATTAATCACAGGCGTCCTCTTGACTACTTTGTAAAAATAGGTGTCTACCAATTTTAACCGAAATTGAATAAATTAATATCAAGTAACCGGTCTTGTGTAGGCATTATGAGAATATATTTTCGCTTCTATCAGACAAATTCTGTGACATCAACACAATTCAGGGACCAATGAAAGGTATAGGACAATATTAACACGAAAAAAATGTGATTTTTACACACTACTTATCTATAAGAAAGTAATGCTGCGACCACAAAGTGATCGGCTCAACCGGAGTGGACCTCACAGAAAACCGTCGTGACTCAAAAAACCACTGCGTTGTGTTTCACCATATTCATGAGGCTACCGGAGGTCCAATCCCTTCCCTCCCCAATCTCCGAATCTCCCTAATCCATAAAAGGCCGGTAACGTACTCATTATTCCTTTGGTGTTGCGGGTGTCCATATTCGACGCCGATTGCTTACCATCAGAGTTTGCTGTCAGAAAGAGACGAGTATCTACCCAGTACGTTGATAAGCATTTTATTACCTGTCGATCACTAAGTCGCAGAGTGTTCGCAAGAGCTCGTCTTTCATCCGGGCTGAGGTATTTGCTGGCACTGAACCGTCTCTCCAGCGCCCCTGTCTGAGCTGCCGTGAAGCGCACCTGTCCGCCTTTCCGTCTGCCGCCCAAACCCCACCATGGATTGCAGCAGCTCGGCGGTACTGGTAATGAAGAGATCATTTTGTTAGGAAATTGGAACTTAAATATAGATATTAATTATTAAAATAACTTTAGCAGCTGTAGCGCAATTAATTTTGCTGATTACATATGTGTTATAGTATTTGGAAGTAGCGATTCGGTCCGGCTTCGCACAGGTGCATATTGCTGGTAGTAAATTTCCTTATTATTTAATGGATGTTATTATGCATATAAAACTTGCAATCACTCTATCAATTAAAAGAAATTGCGTCAACATTTTAATATTTAAGCATAGATACATAGGGATATAGGTACAGATAACGCGATATTGTTTTATATAGTGTACTATGTAGTGGTGGTAATTGTAAATATTAAGTATTGGAAGTGTAGTAAATAGTTCTTAATTATAAAATAATACATATCTGTTTTATTTATTTACAACGTGGAATTAATGTCATAGGTATTCCCTGCCAGTCAAACCTGGGTGATGCCGTGTGTTAAGAATATGTCGTTTTACAAAGACAACATACAAGTAAGAAGGAATAATATTGTTAGATTAATCAGATATTTAGTCAGGCCATAGCGCGGTCAATTAGGATTGATCAGCTCCAAGCTGGCAAAATATGCTGTCCTTAAGGTTATGTCCCGTTTCCGTTACTTTAAATATTAGTGTTACAATACTTCAAACATTATAGAACCAACTTAGTAATGTAACAAAGAATCAATTCGGAAAGAGCAAGTAGCTTCTCTAAGAGGACTGATCGACACTGAAACTTTTGGCATTCAAAAGTGCCTGTGATGGTCTGATTGAAATAAATGATCTTGACTTTGACTTGGCTAGACATTTCGTGCTTAGCACTGACAAAACACGCTATAAGTAGACGTACGTACGCAGGTATTTACATTCTTATACGGAAAAAACAACTTAATACGCCCCGATGATGATTTTTATCAGTAATTAATTACTAATAATTCCCGAATGCATTGATTATCTGCTTACAGTATATATCCTTTATCTCACTTTCTTTGCATTTATCAAATAAATCCGGTTTTCGTTGTAGAATTTAAATAAGTAATACGTAAGTAACTGTGGGATTAACTCCTATAATAACATATTATTATTATTTAATCCGTCAAAAATACTCGAGGCATAGGGAAATTACCTTATATATATACCTAGATATGTAGGTACATACATATAAGTATGAATCTACATGTGCACAAGATTAATCGAGAATGATTAATACTATTCATCGTGACTGGTAATATTGTTTTAGTTTTTTGATTGGAATAAGTGGGTAGTGTTTACTATAATAAAATTTAAGATCTGATCTGTGTAATTCTGGGATAGGTACCCCTTAAAAGAGAAATATATAAAAATACGTAAAAAGCATATTTGAAGCGTCTTTTTTTTTTTTTTTTTTTTTGGTGTCGGGTTGGAAAATCCTCATGGAGACCCATCGCCCTCGGGGAAGGGCGAAGGGTACTGTCAGACTCTTACTGACTAAAAACCAACCCGGTGTTCCTCCAATAACCCATGTGTCGGAGGGGCGGGTATCGCCGAAGCATTCGTCGCAACCCCCCGACGGGTGTTGGCCCGCCAGATGGTAAGGCGGGCCCCGTCACCCACTGCGGCCGTCACCCCGACCGCAGGACTCCACTATGAGGCGCGCGCGGAACACGGCGCCGCCGCCTCGAGGCATATTTGAAGCGTCTGACTCGAGTCTGTCTCTCTGTCGAGACTTTGATTTTTGGGACGATAACGAATTAATTACCTCTGAATAAAAAGTATTTTTTTAAATCAAACATTTTCTCACTTTCGGGGTTTCTCTTGTGCCGTGGGTGCATTTACAAACATGCAATTTCGTATATACACAGTTTTCATCATGAGTCAGAAAGTACACTAATTTCTCGTCATTATCCGATAGATGGCATTAGTAACCTCATGTTAACTCATTGAAGCGCAAACGCAGCAGAAAATAATGTTAATTTAGTTTAGAAAGATAAATTGTAAACTATAGGTAAGTCTAATAAATAAAATAGTTCTTA